CGTAAGTGGTGGCCCTTTTGAGCCATTACCAGTATCAAGAGCTGATACTGGAGATCTGTGGAGGTGCGACTGCACCCTGCGTGACGGGAGATGTCTCCCGTATGTGGTCTTGTTCCTAGATTAGTATAATTGTTGTTGTTAAAGATTTAGCTACTCAGGACGAAGTGTCCATGTAGTACGGGCTATGGTGAGCCCGTAAAATATATAGTATAATATATAGGCGACAAAATAAACGAAATGTTGGGAAAGGAGAGAGGTGCAGCGCCTCGTCTTGGACGCGTGGTGGAGAAGCTTCCAGGATAAAGAAGGCCTTTTGAGCATTCATCTCGTTGGCAGCTAGACCCATCCCAGTCCTCGCAGCATCACAATTTACACAAATACACACACACACGCTCTTTCTCTCTCTCTCTCTCACACACACACAGTCCAAGAGCCTCAGTTCGATTCCCGGCCGAGGCAGAAACAAATGACCCGCTTCTTTCATCTGGTGCCTCTGTTCACTTAGCAGTAAATAGGTATACGGGAGTTAGTTTTTGTGGCCTACATCCTTGGGATGTATATGTGAGATAAATGTATGTAGTAGATATGATAGAGAACAGTATGTCGGGAATCAGTACGTTAGACAACCGACGGTTAGAAAGGCGGGACCCAAGAGCTAATAACGCGATCCTGCAGGCACAAACAGTAAGTATACGCAACCCTCCATCACCCGATTTATTGATTGATGAAGATTAAGCCACCCAAGAGGTAGCACGGGCATGAGTAGCCCGTAAGTGGTGGCCCTTTTGAGCCATTACCAGTATCAAGAGATGATACTGGAGATCTGTGGAGGCGCAACTGCACCCTGCGTGACGGGAGATGTCTCCTGGACCAAATGGTGCTCCATCACCCACACCCCTTCCATAAATATATACCTCCCCCTTCCCCACAACACCCCCTCCCCACAACACCCCCCTCCCCACAACACCCCCCACCACCCCTCAGATGTCCTTCCCTGTCCGCAAGTTTAAACTCAGCCAGACAGTCTCCGGCACGTAAATAACAGGTGGAAATTCCTGCAAAACATTTCGCTGTGCATGCAAGCAAGGGAATGGTGCTCAAGTTGCAGATGATTCGTTAAACTAAGTTAAAAATACATCTTTCGCACATTTTTTGTTTTTCATTAGGCGTTTGCAAAAAACTTTGTATCTCTAAGACAGTAAAAATTCTCGCAGATGTCGTAATTGACTGAATTAGGTCACCTAACCTTTATAGTTTAACGAGCGTCAAATTAGAAGTGGTTTTGCCGAACCAGAAGCATATGAATGTCGGTAACTAGCCTATATAGTCTATTGCAATCTATATAGCCTATCGCAGCCTATATAGCCTATCGCAGCCTATATCTGATGGCGCGTTCACAGACAGCGTTTATGTAAGTGCTCATAGACTACGTTTATTAATAAGGTTCATTAACAGCGTTCGTGGACGGTGTTTATCAACTGAGTTCAAATACTCGCTTATAGAAAATGTTCAAGGACAGCGTTCATGGACAGCGTTCATAGACAGCGTTCAAGGACAGCGTTCATAGACAGCGTTCAAGGATAGCGTTCATAGACAGCGTTCAAGGACAGCGTTCATAGACAGCGTTCAAGGACAGCGTTCATAGACAGCGTTCATAGACAGCGATCAAGGACAGCGTTCATAGACAACGTTCAAGGACAGCGTTCATAGACAGCGTTCATAGACAGCGTTCAAGGACAGCGTTCATAGACAGCGTTCAAGGACAGCGTTCATAGACAGCGTTCATAGACAGCGTTCAAGGACAGCGTTCATAACCGTCAAACCACAGACTATCACCTTTCAATTGTTGCATGAAATTTATAATTTTGCATTAACAAAAAATGGACTAATGCAATATCGAGCTTATTCACTAACAGAGTGTAAATTATCTCAAGTAGGCTATTGAAATAATGATAGCCGTTCATCTATAAGAAACAAAAAATCTCGAGCCGCTTCCATTTTCTAGTACGACGATTTTTGGCCTTAGGTAGAGTATACGTCAAAATGAGACGTTCTATATGAAGGACAGGTTGCCTTGCAGTCAACACTTACAATGTTAGTTATGTCACCTCAACAAACTTGTCAGCTGTTGCCTGCTCGCTGCTTACTATTATTATCACATATAATCTCTATTGCTGTCAAATAGAATCTCTATTACTGTCATATATAATTTCAATCGCTACAACAGTTTTCAAGCTGTTGAAAACGTTGAACACATGCACAGAGGACTCAAACAACCAAACACCTTTTGCCATCGCCATCTTTCGATCTCCTGCCGAATTCGCAGAAAAGAATCTTGAGAAATGAAGTTACTATCACAGAAAGCTCGACATTGTGGTCGCCTGACAGAAGACGTATTATTTTAAAGCCACTATGCGGTACCCAGAGAGATTCTTCCATTGCTCACCGCTACTGTAAATTTAGTGAAAGGATTAATTTGTGTAATGGGAAGTGGGATACGACAAATGGCAGAGTCAATCTCAGGCTTTTTCCCCACCGGTGGGACCAATGGTTTTCCTCGCTAATATTATTTCTCATTCTCTGTCCTCCCGTTTACCCTTACATTTTCATGGTATATGTTAGTGCTTATAGCAACTATTAGTTGAACGTACAACAATGTACTTTTGAACCCAAAAAGTTCACATTTTGTACTTTTATTACTCCAAATGGCATAGTAATAACTGGAGCAGTAATTGTACCACTTAACCTAACCTGCCCAAGGCCTAAAAAGCAGTCCTAGGCCTGCTTTTTACTTTACATATTTGTATATTATTTAATAAAGAGAAGAGCAGTCATATAAAAACACTATAAATGTGTTTTATAGTGTTGCTTTGCTTTGAATTTGCTTTGTTTCTTCATATTTTGTAATAAATATATTAATCAGAATATTAAACAATGAATTGACTGTAATCTACCAATTGACTATTCATTCTGCAATTCAATAAATAATATAAACATTTATCGTCAACTGGTTGAAGTGATGCTATTTCACCCTATGCCTCATTAACGAAGAATGAGTATCTTCCCATATCTGAAATTTCCCCAAAAACATCTCACCGAAATTCGACCAAAATCGGTGAACGGTCCAGAAGTTATTGTTTCCATCGCTTCTTGAAAGGTGTAAAAAATTAAATCAATTAACTTCCAATCGTTAAGGGCTTACAGTTGGCTTCAGAGGTTCCTATCAAACGACTCTCATGAATTGTGGAGAAACGCAGACGAATTTTTCTCTTCTCTTCCTCGGAAAAATATAAAGTCGAGGAAAAATAATAAAATTTTGACAATTAGTGAGGTAATTTGGAGGTTTATTTGGAAAGTAAACAGTGGAGTGTGCGCAACCATTGAGAAATAATGATAAGGGTTATTAGTGAGAAACAGAAGAGGGACCAGAAAAAGATCTGTCTTAGAATGTATCTTTTTTTTAATATATTAAAACTCCAGCAAAGATATCTCACTTTGTGTGTGTGTGTGTGTGTGTGTGTGTGTGTGTGTGTGTGTGTGTGTGTGTGTGTGTGTGTGTGTGTGTGTGTGTGTGTGTGTGTTTTCCTTTAACTGAAAGCAGAATGAATATGAAACATAAATATTAAATAAAGCTGTAACACAATATGCAACAACAATATTCCTTAATGAAGATAACAAAAGATCATTAAACTAACGAATACTATGAAAATGTTTTCCAAGTTAACACAGTACGCTTCAGTGTTTCTCAAGACTTACACAGTACAATACAGTACATTACAAGGCTTACATAACGGTACAGTGCGTCCCAAGGTTTACACAGTACTGTATAGTACAGTGTGTCCAAAGGCTTACACAGTACGATGCAGTAATTTCTAAGAGTTACACAGTAAGGAACAGTGCGTCCCACTGCTTACAGATTAGCCCCCCCCCCCCAAGGCTTACATAGTACGGTAAAGTGGTCGCAAAACCCACACAGAACGGTACTGTGCGTCACAAGGTTCACACAGTGGGAACATCGTTGTATGTAGGCACGCTATGGCAACGTACTGTACTATGGGCTCACCATAGCCCGTGCTACTTGGAACTTTTTGTTCCAAGTAGCTGAATCTTAAACAACAACTGCAGACACGACACCCACACGAGACCAACACACACACACACACACACACACACACACACACACACACACACACACACACACACACACACACACACACACACACACACACACACACACACACACCCGGCACGACGCTCTAGGGAAATTATCAAATAATTTTGTTTCTGAAGGCAGGACTGTACTGGCATACTAAAATGGCTAGTAGCCTAGGTTACTGTAGCGTGTTTTCTCTCGCGTTCTCCTTCTCTACGCTTAAATTTGTTATATTTATAAGAAATGTATCAAAATTAGAAGTCAGGCTGTTGCAGCTGCTTGGCCTGTCGAGCGTTCCCAACGTCACTAAACCGATGTACTACTTTGCCTAAACCTAATCTAACCGGGAACCCAAGACTAGAAGACAGAACATAGCTTTATATTTGTTGGCTTTAAGGGGATTTATACCTCAAAATACGATGTACTCTTAGAGAGGACTGATAACAGCCTCGTAACTCTGAGCTTAAATTGTTTCACAGTCACTAGAGGATAACACTGACATTAAGTCGTTCAGTCTCCCTCGGGAGGGCAGCTCCGAGTGCTATAGCTCCGTTAGAATGACTTAGAAAACTTCGAAAGCAATTCGAACAAATTGAAGCAATACTTGTGACCATTGTGGTCGTAATCAGGCTTTACAATAGTTTTCTTGGAATACTGAGAAGTGTGTTTCCTTTGTTGAAACTTTGTACGAAATATTGTTTAGTCCAGTGAATTCAAGTATGTTTTTTTTACGTATTGTATTATTTTATTTATTAGGATTTTTTTTATTTTGTCATGGGATATACGTATACCATACAGCATGTATCATATGATTTATATAAGTTTTCGAGCAATGGTGGATTCGCCATTTCCCCGAGTATAATTTATATTAAATTCAGTGGAGAATATGAGACATTATTAACTGTCTTTTTTTTGTGATAATTCGGCGACAATTAACCTGTAGCTTTTTTTGAACCAGCGACGAGAACTTACCAGTCCAGTAAAACTATTAAGTATTTTCCTTCTCCAATATAAATAATCTGGCAGTAATAAGATACGATTTCCTCATGAATAAAATAGGGACAAGTGAGAATATTTGTCACTTATCAAACAATATTTGCTAAACAAGTTTTAGTGAACACAGATAAATGTTTAATGAAGGAATATCAACGAGACGTTTCAACTGGTTTTTGCCCTGAATGAGTGTAGCGAAATAGGCTTTCATTTGCAAATAATAATACAAATTTCATGTCCATTATTAAACATAATGGACTTGACATAAAACATAAATATAAAATAACTACATACACATAAAATACATGCATATATAATCATATTCAAAGTTCTTCCTAGCATTTTCCTCTTGTGGCAAATTTTCACAGAACAAAATCTGAAAACAGGAATATTTCAATAAAGAGTCATAATTAAAATATAAAAGTATATTCCTTTCAAAAGGTGTGAAGCCGGAAGCGTAGGAATACCGCCCAGAGGGAAGCTGTCCTCGTCAGTCTGGTCCAGGATGTGCTTGGGGTCGCATGCGTAACCTCTGCGCTCTGGACCCCCAAGTGCTCTGTACCCCACCTCTGGACCCCACGGCTAAACCCCCCAAGGGCTCTGTACCCCCACTCCCAGTGCTCTGTACCCCACCGCTAGACACCCCCCAGTGCTCTGGACCCCAACGCTAGGCCTCTTGTGTTCTGGACCCCAGCACTTAAGACCCCCTGCGGCCTTGACCCCACTGCTGTGGACCAGAGGACGCCCCGGGCACCGCCGGGTGCACCAAGCATGGCTCGCCTGACAATGACCGGATATCTTGTGGCCAGTCTGGTTCTTGGTGTGGCTGTTGGTCCGATCCTCCAGACCGGCGCCGACCCCAAGAACCCAACACAAGAACTCGACTGTATTGAACAGTGCAGCACCTTTGCTAAGGTCCAGTATACAAAATTGCCTTCAGTATCTTACAGGAAACTGATGAGACCTGTCTCTGGATGGCTGCAAACTTAATATATTTGTAAAATTAAAACCATTTACATTTTACAGGATTGCCATAGATGGTGGTCGCCACCAGGACGGGAAAGCTGCAGAATCTCCATCAAAAATTATATTTTTGTTCTATTTACTCAGGGTATGAACACTTAGTTAAATATTTAACTGAGTATACTATCAAATGAGGTAGACTGACGCCATGAACCCTTGCTGCAGCGGTGCTGACCCCTTGCTACAGCGGCCCCTGACCCCCTTGCTATAGCGGCCCCTGACCCCTTGCTACAGCGGTCCTGACCCCTTGCTACAGCGGTCCTGACCTCTTGCTACAGCGGCCCTGAAGCTCACCTAACCTCATATGTTTAGGTCCATTTAGTTCCATGTGCTTAGATCAAATTGTCATGTATATTTAGTTCAAATTAGGGTTATAAAATACAATATTGCATGATGTGTTGTTAAGGTTATAAACAACAATACTGCATGATGTATTAAGGTTATAAACTACAATACTGATTGATGTGTTGTTAAGGTTATAAAATACAATAGTGCATGTGTTGTTAAGGTTATAAAATACAATATTGCATGATGTGTTTTTAAGGTTATAAACTACAGTAGTGCATGATGTGCTGTTAAGGTTATAAACTACAATACTGCATGTGTTGTTAAGATTATAAACTACAATACTGTATAATGCGTTGATAAGGTTATAAACTACAATACTGCATGATGTGTTGTTAAGGTTATAAACTACAATACTGCATGATGTATTAAGGTTATAAACTACAATACTGCATGATGTGTTGTTAATGTTATAAACTACAATACTGCATGATGTATTGTTGTCAACTTCACTTTTGATTATAAGTAGATTGAACTTGAAGATATATATTTCTCTATTGTCTTGCTCCGTAAATAAGCTTCAGCGAAAAAAAAATACTCGATAATTCTTTCGGAAGAGTTTTTAAATAATTTTATCAGCTAAAATTTTAGCAGAGTATCTGTTCAGTGTTTAATATCTTGTATCCATATTGAAGATAAGCATATAAGGGAACAATGTTTCATTGACTTAGGATATAAATTGTTCAAAGTTAAATTCAACGTTCGAAAAACAATGGCAGACAGCTGTGTATGTGATGTATTTGATATACAGTAATGCATTTATATGTGCAGTACAGTATTTACATTTTCAGTTTATTTCAGGGTAAGCAGGAAGCCTGTCTGGCCGGCTGTCTCAACGTTCACAAATGCCTTTACGAACATGAGGGTAAAAATCTCAGTGTAACTCAAGAAGATTGTGTGCTCACCTGTAGACGTAGTAAGTTTATTATTTAACGTATTACAAATAGTAGGTAGTCGATTTAAACTTTTGACTATTATTCTTTAGGAATTGAAGATATGTATGATGGTAAGTTGATTATTTAGCATATTACAAATAATAACTAGTACATTTAAACGCTTGACAAGTATTCTTTAAGCATTGAAGATATATATGATTGCTCTAATGCTTATAATTTAAGTCATGAAGATGGTATGTCACGCTAAATGTAACTTGAGAAGACGGGCTGTGACGGGATATCATATTCTACTTCCTCTTTCATCTCCCACTTATAAATTTACAGTAGATCACAACTTTTTCTTATAAGGCATCAGCAGGTAGATTGTACCATAGACTTATTACTCTGGGAAAAGTATTTCCTGTGTATATTTTCCATTACGGCTTAAGAAGCTTGAAGTTATGACTTTGCAATTGTTAGACATGCAGAATCTTAAGAATACACTTGACGTCTGGCAGTTAAAAGTGCAGTTTTCCTCTTAAATTTTATACTGAAATTCAACCAGTCTTTTTTTCGTCAGTGAGATTTCTTAAAAGATGGTGATTAGAGCGAAATATAAATGCTTAGACTAATTGTGTCATTCACCACTGTTGCCACAGTGGTACAGTTGCCACCTGGTACAGTACTGATATTCAACCAGAGATTTTGACAGTTTTGCAACTAGGTGTGAAAATGCATTACAGCTCTCAATATGTTTCATAGGAGTTGTATTTACAAGTGAGTTTCTAGTCATTAATTTAAAATATTTCGAAATATGAAAACGCTAAGTAACACCAAGATCAAATACTCCATCAGCTAACGTATATAAATAAGCCTGGGGGTTGGATTTAATAACTGTGGTAACTCTGATTCCATCATCTATTTCCTGAACATAGGAGGGGTGAGGTAGGAGGGAAAGACATGGTAATGTTATAGACATTAACAAGTAGGTAGGTTGACGTTTATGAATCTTGGGAGTTAAGTCCAGCTGTGCTTAAGAATGGGTTAATAGTTTAGTGCACTTGTTGGTGTTTTTATCAGAGTGAAAACATCCTGTCTTCCTTTTCATGCACAAAATGTTTAGTCAAACATTGTATAATTGCAGTACTCTTACTTTTCCTGCTTTAAAGCAGGAGAAATATTATTGAGTAATATCTTTATTATTGAGCACTAACAATTTCATGGTCAACCGAAGGATGAAACTATAAACTGATGGCAGTATAATGTTTGTAACCCCCGAACACCACATTCCTGATGTAATTACATAATTATAAAATAACTTACATTTACTACATAAGATTGATACATATTATTTTATCCAATTAACAGTTTACACATTTTTAACAAAATAAATAAACTGTATATGTATATTATAATATTTTGTCTTGTCGGGCGTAGTAACGGACGAGGCTATCATTGTAGGGAATTTCTTTTATGGATTTAATGCCTGATGTTGCTGAGTTTATGCCCTGCCTTGCTGGGTGTAGATATACATTACTTTTATTTATTTATATACAAGAAGGTACATAAGGTTGTGAAAGTGCATACATTTGTGACTGCGTGGAACATTCTTGCAAAGCCACTAACACACAAGGCGTTTCAAGCAGGTCCAAACTTACTGAACAGAGACAAACTGCATCACTCTCAGCTGGTCTCTGTAGGTCTCAATTTGGCCTGCATCTAACGGGAAGATGTTTATGGAATATATATATATATGTGTGTGTGTGTGTGTGTGTGTGTGTAGTACAGTAATATCTTAATAGATATTTGTAATGATGGTTGTAAACATCTCACATATGGTTGTGGGAAGTGTTTGGCTTCTTTCAAGTAAGGTTTCTGGGATTAGACAACGATGAATTTGAATGTGTTTACATAGTTTATTCACAACCATTTAAGCTCTCAGTGATTTGCTTAATTGCTTAAATAGTCTTGCTTAAATATATACCATTGCTTAATGGTGTAATGTAATGGCATGCCATTGCTTATACTTAAATAAATACCATTGCTTAAATAGTCAAAGTTACAGAATTGTAACATACAGTATTTCGATATTACGTGCACATCTCTGGTGGAGGTTGGGAAATTCAGCCTAGTGATGTGTTGGCGTAAGAAACCACTAAACATTTAGCAGCTTTGGTAAATTTTTCAGATCTATCACAGGCAAATTTTGCAAGGCTTAACCATTTCATTATTACTAGGTACAGCTTAACATTAGGTTAATACAATATGTCTACAAATGGATGAAAGGGAATAACACAGGATATAGTAATAAGCTGTTAAATATGTAAATACAAAATAGAACACAAAACAATGTATATAAATTGGAAAAGTTTAGATTAAGGAAAGACCTTATTTCCAAAACTGTTTTGGAAATAAGGGACAAATAAGGGAAATAAGGGACATTTGTTCCACAGTTCATCTGTGGAACAAATTACATAGTAACATAATGGCCCAAAAGGCCTTCTGCAGTTTCCTTAATTGTTATTTACTGTATTTATTTATTTATTTACTTATTTATTTATTTATTTATAAGAAAGTATATTGGGTTTGTGAGAGTACTTAACAATCTTGTTCTGACATTCTTGCAAAAAGCCAATAACACACATAGCGTTTCGGCCAGATGTATAGACTATATCGCAAAAGAAATTATAAATTAAAAAAAATATATACTAATTAAACTTAGCTTTGTACTGTAAATGTAAAATTAAGTTTTAGATTGATCTTGAATAACGCAATATTGAAAGTAGGTCAGAAAAAGTTGCCAGTAATTATGTTGTACCATAGCCTAAGAGCTCGAGAACAGTAAGATTCAGTTGTGCATGAATCTACCCACTTTGTGTGTGAAGCGGGTAGAAGCCTTGTATGAAGTATGAAGCCTAGCCTGGATGTAGGTTAAATAAGTGCTATGTATTTTTTCCTAAATGGTCTTGTCACTGTTACAGCATGTTGATATTCCGTGTGAAGTGGATAGAAGTCTTGTATGAAGTATGAAGCCTAGCCTGGATGTAGGTTAAATAAGTGCTATGTCTTTTTTCCTAAATGGTCTTGTCACTGTTACAGCATGTTGGTGTCCCGTGTGAAGTGGGTATAAGCCTTGTATGAAGTATGAAGCCTAGTCTGGCTGTAGGTTAATTAAGTGCTATGTATTTTTTTCTAAATGGTCTTGTCACTGTTACAGCATGTTGGTGTCACGGGACTTGTATTATTCCAGTTACAATGACCTGTTACCCCAACTTCAGTAACAGGCTGAAGAAATTAATACTACACGTTCAATAAATATTAGAACTAACTGAATAACTGAAAGTCCGTGGGAAGTCGATAACCCGTATAATCATAACAGTGTAAGAAAATCAAATTAATGACAAAATAATAAAACATAAATTCAGGAGTCCATACGAGTACAACACAGTATTTAAAATTATCACGTGAAATGACTATTCTGATTTAGAACAACAAATATTATTACTGTAGTGTTCAGTAATATAAGTCACAGGATCTGGCATTTTGGCATGATGTTACACCTTTGCTATAAAGCAATTATTCATCCAATGGACAATGTAAACTTTTTCTTGCATCTATTTCTTATTACTCAATTTTGGTTGGAATATCTGATATGTTATTGAAAATATAACTTTGAAGTGAACATATTGCAACTTAGCCTTAAGGTAAATTTATTGTCAATATTTTGATTTGTCATGTTTTATATTCTGCAAATTTACTTATTTCCTAATAAGAGAAATGTTTGTTCAGAAAGGCTTCGTCGGTAGAAACCTATGAAGACTGGAAATTTTACTAATATTTTCCATTTCCCATGTTTGCAAAAAAAACGTTATTTTTCGTATATATAAAATAAGGACAATTGTATAGATAGCCTCACATTAATACGAATTATTACTTCCCAGAATGTGACGATTATTATGAAAGGTTTTCGCCGCCAATGTGGGCTTGCAGAGTTGGATGTACAGCTCCAGAACGCCTCATCTCGGGTGTGGTAAGAACATAAGTCTCAATGCTTTAAAATATAAAGCAATAGTGATGCAAATATATTTCTGATTTTGTAACATGTCTTGTGAGCGCTCCTGCGAAGTTCAGCAATCCTCTTCTCCAAACTTCTTCCCTTCCTCAGTTCCGCAACCTTTTCTGAGCTTTAAGCCTTGACATCTATACCAGTTCGCCTCATCATGCTCATGTGCGGTCTAAGGCGGAGTTGTTCCTCTTGTTACCTCTTCCCCATGTTCCTACCCTGTCTTTTCAGCATTCCCCGCCATTTGTGCATTACTTCTCAGTCTTCCCTGATCTACTATATTTGATTACGTCTCAGCCGTATCGGTTGTGAGCCTTCTCACTCCTGGGGCCAGATTCACGAAGGAGTTACGCAAGCACTTACGAACCTGTCCATCTTTTCTGAATCTTTGGCGGCTTTGTTTACAATTATTAAACAGCTAATGAGCTCCGAAGCACCAGAAGGCTGTTTATAACAATAACAACAGTTGATTGGGAAGTTTTCATGCTTGTAAACTGTTTAATATATATAACCAAAGCCGCCAAAGATTGAGGAAAGATGTACACGTTCAAAAGTACTTGCGTAAGTGCTTCGTGAATCTGGCCCCTGGACTCATCTTCCTTCTCAACTCCCCTCTTCTGTCTTTAGACCTTTCCTCATCTTCCGTCTGGGTTAATATCCATCATCTTCCTGAGAAGCAGGAACGTCCTGCACCAAATCTGTGATGTCCATGGTTATATAGATGTGACCCCATATGTTTTACGATCTTACTTTTTAGCACTCGCAAAGATTTTATGATGTGTGATATAAGTGCAGTCTTCTTTACTACCCCCATTGTGGAGTGGCATGATCTTAACTGTTTTGAAAGTGTTACGCCTTAGATGGAGTTTTTTCTGCAATTCTTTATGAACATGAAATTCCATGAATGCATGGATATGCACTCTATGGCTACTTCAAAATCCACGGGGGGCTAGAGCGACGTCCAGTGAATGAGTCGAGGTTGGTGTAACTTTCATCAAGAATTCGTATAGGTTGTCGATCTTTAGTGTGTTTAAGGGTTCACTGAAAATATCGTCGTATTGTATTCTCTGTATTTTATTAATTTCTTTGTTGTCATTCGTGAAGATTCCATCTCCTTTCCGCAATTGCCCAATACCATGGGTAGTTCCATTCACATGGGTTCTAGGAGACTCGAACAGTGAACCCCACGAGTGTGAGAGCCGAAGCTCTATCGACTAAGCAGTCTTTATAAGAAAAGTTTCCAGAAGCAGCATCCTGCTGCCAAATTGCTATGGGGTAGTTTTTATTTTAGGCTATAAAATAAAAAAATGTTTTGAGTTCCTCACAATTTTCACTGATGGCCTTTTGCTCTCTTTGTCTCTTCTCAACATTTTGCATGTTTCTTGCAGCTTTAGTGTGATTGCTTCCATTTCTCTACATAGTTCATGGAAGCGTGGAGCGTGATTTGTTTCCTTCGTCTGTAGGAGATTCTTGAGATTATCTTGAGATGATTTCGGGGTTTTTTAGTTTCCCCGCGGCCCGGTCCTCGACCAGGCCTCCACCCCCAGGAAGCAGCCCGTGGCAGCTGACTAACACCCAGGTACCTATTTTACTACTAGGTAACAGGAGCATAGGGTGAAAGAAACTCTGCCCATTGTTTCTCGCCGGCGTCTGGGATCGAACCCAGGACCACAGGATCACAAGTACAGCGTGCTGTCCGCTCGGCCGACCGGCTCCCTTTGAGGAGTGCGCCATTCTTGTTCCAATTTCTATTAGGTTTATATTATTTAGCTGTTCTTCACACCTTATCCTATGAAGACCTGCGGCCAGATTCACGAAGCAGTTCCGCAAGCACTTAAGAACGTGTACATCTTTTCTCGATCTTTATTTACAATTATTAAACAGTTAATGAGCTCCGAAGCACCAGAAGGCTGTTTATAACAATAACAACAGTTGATTGGCAAGTTTTCATGCTTGTAAACTGTTTAATAAATGTAACCAAAGCCGTCAAAGATTGAGGAAAGATGTACACGTTCGTAAGTACTTGCGAAACTGCTTCGTGAATCTGGCCCCAGGCTGGTTTATTGGTTCCCAGTAATTTTGTTATTGAAATTGAATTTGTAGAATTCTCTTTGGATTTATCCACACATGATTGAACTTTGATGAGGATGTAACCTAAATACTGTAATATGTATTTGTAATCATTAGGTTTTGTATCAGTTCATCATTATTTGTGAAAATAAGATCTAGGGTGTTTTATTTTATAGTTTGTACTACTATTTGCTCGTTTATAGCAAATCTGTCATGCATACGAAAGAAGTGATTTATATATCTTCATTTATATTGCTTTCTGGGATTCTCTCACATAACAGTATTTGGCATATTTTCTATTTTAGGCGCCGTAAATTTAAGTCACCAAGCATGATGATGGTTTGGGGCTGGTTTTTGTGAGTTTTCTAAAGCAGTATTTCGAGTTTTGTTAATTGGTCTTTGAACTGCTGTTGTCTTGAAACTGGTGACCTATATACAAAAACAACAACTACATTTAGAATTTCGAATTTGATTATCAGCCATATCATTGTAGTACATTCATTATCCATATATTTTGAACTAATGTAGTACAATCATTATCCATATACTTTTAACTTTAATGCATGTACTATGTTCGTCGAGGCAAACTTAGTACATTCATTATCCATATATTTTGAACTAATGTAGTACAATCATTATCCATATACTTTTAACTTTAATGAATGTACTATGTTCGTCGAGGCAAACTTAGTACATTCATTATCCATATATTCGTCGAGGCAAACTTTAATTAAGATAATATAATCTTATTTCTAGTACATTATGCCTTATGACACAACTTTGTTATAGAGTCACTGCAGAGTTACAGACAAAAAATATTACTTCGACTTTAAGGAATAGTTTAAGAGTTTCAGAACTAGGGTGTCCGGGTTAATTCTGGATGTAAAAAAACTAATTTACGCTTCAGTATCTATATAATATACAAATAAATTTATTTTTTCAGACAGTGCCAGAACAACACTTCATTGACTCTTATATTCTGAGTGATGACCCTGACCCGGAATCAACCAAGCCAAAGGAACCGGTTGGCGTTGTTCACGAATCTACTCAAAACATATCTCTCACACTTGGAGGAGTTGTTCTAACTGATGAAAAGTCAACCCGTTTATTATCTCCGGAGGAGATAGAAAATGAAAAGAGCACCAGAGAACAGAACACCGAGCAAGCCAAAAATATATCAATTGATGTTCAAGGACTCATTGGAAATGTCTCGAAAATGCACGAAAGTGTCACAGAAGAGGGAAGTACGACGCCAGTTGAGAGAAAAAAGGACGATGCTGAAAACATCTCTCTTGCTATTCTAGGTTCAATTAACCGAACAGGTTACGGGACAGAAGTTGTTACCAAACTGACTACTGAAGGAGAGACAGCTCGGCCTACCGGAATTGGAAGTTGGGCTGAAAAATTACCCAAAAGACCTGAAAGAGAGACTAAGGCCGAATTAAAACCAGAAGTGATCGAAGCTGGCAAGAAGGGAGAGGAAAAAGCTGAAAAGAAGGGTGAGGAAAAAGCTGAAGAGAAGGGTGAGGGAGAGGTAAAAGTTGAAGAAAAGGGTAAAGGGAAGGGTAAGGGAAAAGGAAAGGGTAAGGGAAAAGGGAAGGGTAAGGGAAAAGGTGGAAAGAAGGGAGAGATAAAACCTGGAGAAAAAGTTGAGGGGGAAGCAAAACCTGGAGAGAAAGCTGGAGAAAAGGGTGCGGTGGAAGCAAAACCTGGAGAAAAGGGTGCGGTGAAAGCAAAACCTGGAGAAAAGGGTGCGGTGGAAGCAAAACCTGGAGAAAAGGGTGCAGTGGAAGCAAAACCTGGAGAAAAGGGTGCGGTGGAAGCAAAACCTGGAGAGAAGGTGGAGGAAAAACCTGGGGAGAAGGGGAAGGGGAAAGGTAAGGGGAAGGGAAAAGGTGAAAAGAAAGGTGAAGGGGAGGTAAAACCTGGAGAAGAAAAGGCTGGAGGGAAGGGTAAAGGGAAAGGAAAGAAGGGTAAGGGAAAAGGTAAAAAGAAGGGAAAGGGAAAAGCTGGAGAAAAGGGTGCGGAGGAAGCAAAACCTGGAGAGAAAGCTGGTGAAAAGGGTGCGGCGGAAGCAAAACCTGGAGAGAAAGCTGGTGAAAAGGGTGCGGCGGAAGCAAAACCTGGAGAGAAAGCTGGAAAGAAGGGTAAGGGGAAGGGCAAAGGAAAGAAAGGAGAGAAAAAGAAAAAAGGGAAGGAAGGAGCTGGGGCACCTCCAGCTGCGGGAGCTGGGGCACCTCCAGCTGCGGGAGGTGGGGCACCTCCAGCTGCGGGAGCTGGGGCACCTCCAGCTGCGGGAGCTGGGGCACCTCCAGCTGCAGGAGCTGCACCACCTCCAGCTGCGGGAGCTGGGGCACCACCACCACCAAAGGTTTAAAACCACCATTGGAAAAGAGAAAGAAGACAGAGAGCAGTATGGAAACAACGAGTGTGGGGTCTTGAAAATCTAGGCACAAGTTTACGGGAAGTTAAAATTAGCAATTTAAGATGATAAATATTATTTGTTACTTGTATTAACATTGCCCAACCACTTGGGCTGGACGGTAGAGCGACGGTCTTGCTTCATGCAGGTCGGCGTTCTATCCCCAACGGTTCAAGGGGTGTTGGGCACTATTCCTTCCCTCCCTGTCCCATCACAAATCCTTATCCTGACACCCCTTCCCAGTGCTATAGTAATTGCTTGGCACTTTTCCTTGATAGTTCCCTTCCCTTTGCCATGTATTAACACATTGGAAACAATAGGATCACATTAGCAAAACCCTGTATTTAATTATATTTTAAACGAAATGTTATTATAATAAAAGTTCATAAGTGATCTCTAATTTATTATGACTATTACTGAGTTAACGAGTCTAAGTAGGCTCTAAAGAGCTTTAGGTTATCTTAAATCCCATGTTATTTGTTTTACAGACAGCTGGAATTAGACTTCGTGTGTGTTGTTCTAAGTTATAAACTCCTTGTTTGACTATACAAAGTAGTGGCATGTTTACCTATTGAAACTCTTCAGCATACAAATTATGTTTATAAATGCCTTACAATATAGGACTATAGATAAAAAAAGAACGCTTTTAATAATCTTTTGGTACATTTCTTAAATTAAAGGAATTGCATTTTTGTTTATCAATTATTTAATACATTTTCAGATTTGTATACAAGTTTACTTATTAATAAAGATATATTGTTTTTAATAACTAACTCAACCACATTGCCTATAGTTCACAGATGATTATGGTGAGACTTTGTTTCATGCATTTCATATTTTTGTAATTATTCTTAAGTTTATTGATAACTTATGTAAATATTTGTTTTTGCAAGGATATAATGTAATCTTCATATAATAAAGGCAATTTGAATTATACTGTAGTGTGCGTATGATTTGTCCCAATAAGCATGTAGTTACTATCTATTGGCAAAATATTCTCGGGTTATGGTGGTACAACTCTTATTAATAAATAGATAAAGCTAGTAGATAAATCTACTGTCCAACTGGAACTTTAGGCCTTCCTTAAGTGCCACTTTGGCATGAAGATGTTAGGTAATCTACATCCTAGTCACATAAATGGCTTTACTATTAAGGAAATATATAAATTTCTTTTCCATTGTTTTAACGTATAGGTAAAAACATTTAATCATATAGAAAGTTCTTCCTAGCATTTTTCTCGTTATAAATTTCAGAAGGTAAATGGTGAAAAGAAAAGAGTGGTGATAATGAGAATGAATCTGACTGGAGATATATAGTAAGTGGAGTACCACAGGGGTCCATTTTGGGGCTGACCCTCTGTCTTATACATCATTTATCATTCCTTTTAAGTGTAATCTACCTGTCTCTGATATTCCCCGAACTCCATAAATTGTTAGAAAACTGACAAATGTGTTTTAATATTGACAAATGCAAGACCCTTCATGTGGGGCATAACAACCGCGCCACAAGTACCAAATGAATAACATACATTACATAACAGCAGATTAATGAAGAAAAGAACGTTGGAGTCAAAATCCACCACTCAATGAAAGTTGCACAGAAGGTAGGGGCAGCAGTCAAAAAAGTTAACCAAACACTTGAAATAATGTTCAGTAAATCCCTGAACTGTATGTTTAACAACTCTCTCACCCTGTCCATGGAGGACAGAAGAAAATGTATATATGCTGATTAGCATTGTAAATGTGTGACCACGTCTGTGGTAGAAAATAATAATAATAAAAAAAACTTGGAATACTCAAGGGTACCTTCGACTTCAAGAAAAAGAAGGTAGTGATTCAATTGTATAAAAAAAATCTTGAAAAAATCAGATGTAACACAAACAAGGACCAACGGTTTCAAGGTCAACAAGCTACAATGTAGGATTGAGAACAGGAGATGCTTTTTCACCCACAGTGTTATTAACCCATGGAACCGCCTACCCGCCGAAGCCGTAAATGCCAAAACTCTGTTAAAACTTTTAAAGTACAGCTGGAAAAGATGATTAAAGCAAATAAGGGGACCTTCGACAAATCGCCGGCTTCCTGTCCTCGTCGAGGCCACTAGTGTTAGTGGCTCTCAGGTAAACTCATTTCAAAGACCAAAATCTTTAAACTGTAAATTATGTAATTATTACACTCGAGAAAAAAACGTAGCCTAGTTTTACATTTATTGTAAATGGAAAAACAATTACATTGCATTATTTATGCTCAGTTCCGCATAGATAAATAAAAAACTGGCATTAATTATGTCTATTAAAGTAAATGACATTGCTAATTTGATTACTGTAGATAGATTTGTTCTTTGAAAAGGTGTTAAGCCGGAAGCGTTGGAATACCTCCCAGAGGGAAGCCGCCCTTGTCAGTCAGGCCCAGATTGTGTGTAGAAAACTCTGCTTGTCCTCTTCGCTCTGGACCCCAGCGTTAGCTACCCCACTGTGCTCTGGACCCCAGTGCTCTGTACCCCACCCCTAAACACCCCCCAGTGCTCTGTACCCCACCCCAAGACACCCCCCAGTGCTCTATACCCCACCGCTGAACCCCAACGCTAGGCCTCTTGTGTTCCAGACCCCCTGCGCTCTGGACCCCACCACTAGGGCTCTTGTGTTCTAGACCCCCTGCGCTCTGGACCCCAGCACTTAAGACCCCCTGCGGCCTTGACCCCACTGCTGTGGACCAGAGGACGCCCCGGGCACCGCCGGGTGCACCAAGCATGGCTCGCCTGACAATGACCGGATATCTTGTGGCCAGTCTGGTTCTTGGTGTGACTGTTGGTCCGCTCCTCCAGACCGGCGCCGACCCCAAGAACCCAACACCAGAAGAACTCGACTGTATAGGACAGTGCAGCGTGTTTGCTGTAGTCAAGGTCAGTTGTATATAACATGGGGTCAATATGTTATAGGAAATTATAATGGAGACCTCTTTTTCAGATAAGGTTATAAGCTTCAATACTGCATAATGTGTTAAGGTTATAAACTACACTACTGCATGATTCGATGTTAATTTTATAAATACAATACTGCATGATGTGTTAAGGTTATAAACTACAATACTGCATGATGAGTTAATTTTATAAACTACAATACTTCATGATTTGGTGTTAATTTTATAAACTACAATACTGCATGATGTGTTGTTAAGATTATAAACTTAAATACTACATGATGTCCTGTTAAGGTTATAAACTACAATACTGTATTATGTGTTGTTAAGGTTATAAACTACAATACTGAATGATGTGTTGTTAAGGTTATAAACTACAATACTGCATGATGTGTTGTTAAGGTTATAAACTACAATACTGTATGATGTGTTAAGGTTATAAACTACAATACTGTATGATGTGTTGTTAAGTTTATAAACTACAATACTGCATGATGTGTTAAGGTTATAAACTACAAAACTGCATGATTTAGTGTTAATTTTATAAACTACAATACTGTATGATATGTTAAGGACATAAACTACACTACTGCATGATTTAGTGTTAATTTTACAAACTACACTACTGCATGATGTGTTAAGGACATAAACTACAATACTGCATGATGTGTTGTTAAGGTTATAAACTACAATACTGCATGATGTGTTGTTAAGGTTATAAACTACAATACTGCATGATGTGTTGTTAAGGTTATAAACTGCAATACTGCATGATGTGTTGTTCAGGTTATAAACTACAATACTGTATTATGTGCTGTTAAGGTTATAAACTACAATACTGCATGATGTGTTGTTAAGGTTATAAACTCTGATGATGTTAACATCACTTTGGATTACCAGTAGATTGAACTTGGAGATATTTATTTCTCTCTCGTCTTGCCCAGGAAATATGCTTCCATGAAAGTAAAAAATATGTAGTTCTTATCTTGTCGATTAGTGTATTTTATAGATATGTATTTTGTAGGTAACTGTATTTTTTAAAATAGTTAAAAAAAATACAGTTCTTGACAATACTGTATTTTCATTCATTTCAGGAAAACCATGAGGCTTGCCTTTCCGGCTGTCTTCAAGTTTACAAGTGTCTTCATGACGTAGGTAAAAAGCCCAATATAACTCTGGATACCTGTGTGGACAACTGTAAACTTGGTACGTTCATTTTTTTAACATAGTTCAAATATTAACTAGTTAATTCAAAATTTTGATCATTATTCCTTAGGAACTGAAGATATATATTATTGCTCAAATGCTAATCATTTAACCCGGCCTCAGACTATGTTCATTCCATCCAGCGGCCGACCTCAAAGGCGCATTCAACATTATCTTTAAGGAAGGGTATAGTCAAATTGAGATTGGTTGTTCATTACTAAACCACGAAAATGTGCCAAGGGTTAAAAGTCATACCAAAATTAAGGAGTGGTAATACAAGTACAATATTTAAAATTATCCATTGAAATGACTATAGTTTTCCAGAACAACCTCTATTATTACCGCAGTGTTCATTAAAATATGTCTTACAATATAGCATATTTACACCTCTTTTGGTATAAAGGAATTATTTAGTCAGTGGACAATATAAACTTTTTCTTGCACTTATTTCTTATGACTCTTATTTGGTTTGAAATATCTGATATGTCATCGAAGACATAACTTTGAAGTAAACACATTACAATTTAATCTTAAGGTAAATATTTTATCAACCTTTTAATTTGTCGTGTTTTACCTGTATATTCTGTAAATGTACATTGTTCCAAGTAAGAGTTATGTTTGTTCAGAACTGCTTCGTCGGTGGAAACCTGTGTAGACTACTGAGAGGTTTTTGAACAAATATAATACTTAGGATGGAAAGTTTGGCTTACATCTACAGTGTGAGACTTGGCCTCTAGCAGGCCATTGTACTAATCTGCAGTCAATACTCAAGTGATCGTTCGGCTTTTTAGCCAGTATTCTTAACTAATACCTGAATAACTGAGTACGACAAAGTGATAATATTTTAAATCAATAACCATATTTATTTTTAAAATTCTACAAATATTTTCTATTTTCCGTGTTATATATGGACAGAAAAAATTCATATTCTGTTCTGTGTGTTCAGTGAGGATCTACAAGGTCTTCTCTGAGTACTCTTTATTTTCTTCTCCGAGGCTATGGGTTCCCTACAATTGCATCAGAGGTGGTACCCTCATAACGTAATATATATATAAACACGTTTGTATACATAGTATCATATTAATATGAATTGCTGCTTCACAGGATGTGACAGACGAACTGAAATGTATTCTGCCGAGATGTGGGCCTGCAGAGCCGGGTGTACCGCTCCTGAGCGTGTCATCTTAGGTGGGGTAAGAACATTGGCTTTACAATATAAAGCACCAATTTTGTCAAACTATTATATAACTGAAAACTCACTGAATACTATAACTATATAATACTATATAACGTGAAATAAAATAGATACCAGGTAATTAGTCAGTAACTTGCATGATAAAAAGGCTTAGGTCCATGAGGTATAATGGCTCCACTAGTCAGTGATAACTATATATATATATATATATATATATATATATATATATATATATATATATATATATATATATATATATATATATATATATATATCTGCTTTAAAATGTAATCAATTGTAATAAAGTAATTAACTTTTATATGTAGTTCTTACGTGAAAAATATATATTGAAAATGACATTCATAAGAAAAATGTAGTGTACTGTAGTTATAAAATGTTATACTTTAAATATTGATTAGATTCCAATAAGTAATTTACGGATTTTCAGCCTAGAATGTTTGAATTAATTTAATCATGAGGATAGGCACTTATTTATTTCAAATATTTTTATTTTCCGTCTCTCTCTTAACTTTGTCTGAACATGAACTTCTTAAAACTTTGGACATTTAAAAAATCAATCTTAGGATTAATAATGTGCAAGTTAAAAGCAAGTTTTATCTTACTGGAAATTTTGAAAATTTTCTTGTTATTAGTCAATAGTCTTAATATTTATTCAAGTAAAACTTTTGTTAAGTAAACCATTTAACCTATTAAGCTAACGTGAAATAAAATAGATACCAGGTAATTAGTCAGTAACCTGCATGCTTAAAAAGTCTTAAAACATGAGGTATAATGGCTCCACTAGTCAGTGATAACTATCCACTTGCCATAGTTTCAATGTGCTGTTAAACATCAGGAAGAACCAGTCAGCTGTAAAGGTGATTGACAACCAGGGAGGCCAGTACGCCCTTGCAGACATTTCTCTTGTCTTGTTTGATTCTCTTAACATTAGTGAGAAAGTGTCAGGAGCAATAGGTCCGTATACTCTGTTCTGATTTGTGTATAAACAAAAGATGAAATGCAATAATTTGCTAGTGTTTGGAAAATAACGATTGGCAGCAAGTGAGTATTTTGAGTGGTCATACATTCAATACACCAGATTCGAAGTGGTGATACATTCAACTCACCAGATTCGAAGTGGTGATACATTCAACACACCAGATTCGAAGTGGTGATACATTCTACACATCAGATTCGAAGTGGTGATACATTCAACACACCAGATTCGAAGTGGTGATACATTCAACACACCAGATTCGAAGTGGTGATACATTCAACACACCAGATTCGAAGTGGTGATACATTCAACACACCAGATTCGAAGTATAGCTGGACATTTTGGCGAGTTTTACGAGCGTTTTGTTTAAAAAGTTTATACAGCTACTGCCAAATATGTCGAGTGCAGATAAATAAACCACAACTGGAACATGGATAGTATTTTTCCCATGGAACTTATTAAATATTTATTATTTTCCGTTTAATGAACTCATTTTGAAATGATAATCTGCAACCCAGATCAGGCCTCCTGTTTGGTGGTCTGGTGAACCAGGCTGTTCGGACTCTGTCGTCTGAATTACCGTTTCGTGGGTCAGGTATTCTTTGGAGGTGTTTTATCAAGTTCCCTTGTAACCCTCTTGGGCTACTTATGCCCTTTATCTTTAGAGGGCGGGTGTTGAATGTTTTCGGGTCTTTAATATTTATAGGAATGTCTCTTAGCGTGCCCATTGTAGATCGACGTTGTTGTTGTTGTTGTTTCAGATTCAGCTACTGGGAACAAAAGTTCCAAGTAGCACGGGCTATGGTGAGCCCGCAGTGGACTTGTGTTTAATCGACTTTTCAACGGGTCTATTTTAAACACTCTGCCATGCCTCCTGGTTCCATGCCTCCTGGAATTAGGAATTATTTCCCCGTGCAGATTTAGAATCGTTCCCTCCCAAGATTATCCAACTGTATAATATTACGAATCTCTCACCTAGGAATGTACAAAAAAGTACGATTTGAGATATTTTAAGCGGTCCCAATAATTTCAATGTTTTATTGAGTGAATTTGATCTACAAAGTTCTCTGCACGTTCTTCAACTTCTGCAGCTTGAAATGAAGCTGTTATTGTGCAACACTATTCTACTACTATTCTATTCAAGCGCCTGACAGCTGGGTGGACAGCGCTTCGGATTCGTAGTCCTGAGGTTCCGGGTTCGATCCCCGGTGGAGGGGGGAAACAAATGTGCAAAATGTTTCTTTCACCCTGATGCGTCTGTTACCTAGCAGTAAATAGATACCTGGGAATTAGACAGCTGCTACTGGCTGCTTCCCGGGGGGTGGTGTAAAAGAAGGAGGCCTGGTCGAGGACCGGGCCGCGGGGACGCTAAGCCCTGAAATCATCTCGAGATAACCTCGAGATATACTCTAGAGAGCACTAATATCAAGTATCATCAATGGTTTAGCATTTTTTGTTTGTTATCCATTTGTTTGTTTGTTGTTATTGTTTGTTATTTTTTTGTTTGTTTTTGTTATCCAGCCTATCATTTTCTTACAGTTGTGACAGCCACTTTACTTTTTTTTTTATTATTAGTCCATTATAGAAGTCTCATCGTTACTTAATACAGAACCTTATTACGTGATTGCCGAAGAGTTAATAAACTATATCTTTCTTTCTTTTTTTTTTTACTTCCCTTGAATTAAAATGATACTTCAGAGCTAGGATGCCCGAGATAATTCTGGATAAACAACAATTTTTTTTTTTTTAGGTTTCAATGAATCATTAAATCTTTTCATGTTCTTGCTTATATAATAAAAGTAATTTGTTTACAGAATGTGCCTGCACAACGCTACACAGCTAGTGATTTTTTTAGTGATGACCCTGAGTCAGGATCAACCGATACCAAGGATCCACTTGGTGTTGTTCACGAATCCTCTCAGAACATATCTCTCACACTTGGAGGAGTTGTTTCAACTGATGAAAAGTCAACCAGTATATCAGCTCCGGAGGAGATAGAAAATGAAAAGTCCATCAGTGAAAAGAACAGACAGGCCGAAAAAAATGTATCAATTGATGTTCAAGGACTCATTGGAAATGTATCGAAAATGCACGAAAGTGTCACAGAAGAGGGAAGTACGACGCCCAAGGAGAAAAACACGGACGATACTGAAAACATCTCTCTTGCTATTCTAGGTTCAATTAATCGAACAGGTTTCGGGACAGAAGTTCTTACCAAACTGCACACTGAAGAAGAGAAACCTCGTAGAAGAAAGGCTGAAACAGAACCGTCCGAACCCAAGAAAACTGAAGGAGAGACTGAGGTCGAATCCAAACCAGAAGTGGTCGGAGCTGGCGAGAAGGGTGAGGGAGGGGAAAAAGCTGGAGAGAAGGGTGAGGGAGAGGTAAAGGCTGGAGAAAAGGGTAAAAAGAAGGGCAAAGGCAAGAAAAAGGGTAAGGGTAAAGGTGGAAAGAAGGGAGAAGAAAAACCTGGAGAGAAAGTTGAGGGAGAGAAGAAACCTGAAGAGAAGGGGGTGGGAGAAGCTGGAGGGAAGGGGAAGGGAAAAGGTGGAAAGAAAGGTGAAGGGAAGGGAAAAGGTGGAAAGAAAGGTGAAGGGAAGGGAGAAGCTGCAAAGACAGGAGAGGCAACTCCAGCTGTGGGACCTGCACCACGGGTACCAGGAGCTGGGCCACCACCGCCAGTTTAAAACCACCATAGGAAAAGAGAAAGGAAGACAGAGAATAGTAAGGAACCAACGAGTGTGGAGTCTTGAAAATCTAGGCGCAAGTTTAAACAAAGTTAAAATTAACGTTTAAAATGATAAACATTATTTGTTACTTGTATTAACATTATGGAAACAATAGGATTACATTAGCAAAACCCTGCATTTAATTATATTCTAAACAAAAATGTCCTTATAATGAAAATCCATAAGTGATCTCTGATTTAGTATCACCATTACTGAGTTAACGAGCCTTAGTAGGCTCTAAAGGGCTTTAGGTTATCTTAAATCCCATGTTATTTGTTTTACAGACAGTTGGAATTAGACTTCGTGTGTGTTCTAAGTTATAAACTTGTTTGACTATACAGAGTAGTGGCATGTTTATCTATTTGAAACACTTGAACATACAATTTATGTTTATAAATGCCTTACAATATAGGGCTATAGATAAAAAAGAACGCTCTTAATATTTTATACTTTTGAGATGTACATTTCGAAAGTACAAGAAATGTACTTTTGAATACATTTCTTAAATTAAAGGAAGTGCATTTTTGTTTATCAATTATATAATACATTTTGAGATTTGTATACAAGTTTACTTATTAGTAATGATATACCGTTTTTAGTAACTAGCTCAACCACATTACCTATACAACCTGTCCTCTTAAAAAGAACGTCGCTTTTGGCCGTTTGCCCGTATGGCCGAATTTGGACGTAATTTGAAAATGAAAAAAAAATTAAAATAAATTTGGGATTTCTTTTTTCAACAACAGTAAGTTAAGGGTCCTCTGATAGGTTAGGTGGGCAGGAAATTCTCATAAAGTTTCAAAACGTTATGAAAAACGTGAATTTAAAGTGTCCTCTTATAACCTCTGCGCGTAAGGCGGACGACTCAAATAGAAAACGGAACAGAACGTCACTTTTGTGAGTCGATTTCATTTCAAATTACTCAAATTTAGCGCGCATACGGGCCAAAAGTGACGTTCTTTTTAAGAGGACGGGTTGACCTATAACTCACGGATGATTATAGTAAGACTTAATTTGTTTATGCATTTCATATATCATATATTTTAATTAGATCCTTAAGGTTAGTGGTGACTTAGGAAATGTTTATTTTTGTAACCATTAATAAAGGCAGATTGAATTATATTACTTGTATGATTTTTCCTTAAGCATAAAGTTATTCTCTAGTGTCAAAATATTATCCGGGTATGGTGGTAGAGCTTTTATATAGCAGAATTGCAGAATATGCTCGAGGCTGAATAGTTATCTCTGTTTTTCCGGCGAAGTTAATTAAGATCCTTAACATATATGTGTACAAACTAGACAGTCTGAATATTGGTCACTTCAAACACAAGAGAAACGCTGCACAAACGCAAAAGTGACGAGGTAAAATATGACTTAATTCACAAACAGGCGTATGAATTAAGTAGGAATTAAGTAGAGAATTTGTCACATACATAAAATAATTCGCGTTATTCACAAGGATTCTTGAACAGAAAAAATGTTTATGTAAAAGAAAATCAACGAGACGCTATATTTGGTTTTTGCTTTTGAATGAGTGGCGATATAGGCTTTAAAGTTAGGGAAATATATGTTTCTTGTCTACTGTTTTAACGTACCGATATAAACATTTAATCATATGGAAAGTTCTACCTAGCATTTTCCTCTTGTGGTAAATTTAAAACGAACAAAATCTATATATTAAAAATTATCTAATTATCACACACGAGAAAAAACGTAGCCTAATTTTGCATTTATTATAAATGGAGAAACAATTATATTGCATTATTTATGTTTAGTCAGGTAGACATAAATACAAAACTGGCATTAATTCTATTACAGTGACATTACTAATTTGAATACTGTAGATAAATTTGTTCTTTCACTCCAAACTGTGTTTGTTGTGTAATTATAACAACTGAAATATATATATGACAAAAGGTTCGGTAGAAAGAAATAATTCAAATGTAAAATACTATTCCGCAGACTGATACAATTACAAAGAGCATGCTTATATCTGTAGTTACAAATATATAGACATTGGAAAGGTGTGAAGCCACAAGTGAAGGAATACCACTAAGCGTGAAGTTGTCCTCGTCAGTCTGGTCCAGACCGCGGTGAGGGGAGCGTGTGTCACCTCCACGCTCTGCACCCCCTCTACCCCACACCCTTACCCCTCTGGACCCCACTACAAGACCCCTGGACCCCACGCTGGACTGAACCGCCACAAGTGGACCACCAGACGACGCCCCGGACACCGCCGGTCCACCGACCATGGCTCGTCTCACATTTACTAATTGTCTTGTGGCCAGTCTTGTCCTTCACGTGGCTTCGTGTACCATCCAAAGTCCAAAAGGCAAAGCAGACTGTGCCCGGGCGTGCAACACGTACGCCAAGGACAAAGTAAGTCAAAACGGAACAAAATTGCCTTCAGTATCTTACAGGAAACTGATGAGACCTGTCTCTGGATGGCTGCAAACTATATTTGTAAAATTAAAACCATTTACATTTTACAGGATTGCCATAGATGGTGGTCGCCACCAGGACGGGAAAGCTGCAGAATCTCCATCAAAAATTATATTCTTGTTCTATTTACTCAGGGTATGAACACTTAGTTAAATATTTAACTGAGTATACTATCAAATGAGGTAGACTGACGCCCTGATCCCTTGCTACAGCGGTGCTGACCCCTTGCTACAGCGGTGCTGACCCCTTGCTACAGCGGTCCTGAACCCTTGCTACAGCGGCCCCTGACTCCTTGTTACAGCGGTGCTGACCCCTTGCTACAGCGGCCCCTGACCCCTTGCTACAGCGGCCCCCTGACCCCTTGCTACAGCGGTCCTGACCCCCTTGCTAAAGCGGTCCTGACCCCTTGCTACAGCGGCCCTGACCCCTTGCTACAGCGGTGCTGACCCCTTGCTACAGCGGCCCTGACCCCTTGCTACAGCGGTGCTGACCCCTTGCTACAGCGGCCCTGACCCCTTGCTACAGCGGTGCTGACCCCTTGCTACAGCGGCCCCTGAACCCTTGCTACAGCGGCCCCTGACCCCCTTGCTACAGCGGCCCCTGACCCCCTTGCTACAGCGGCCCCTGACCCCTTGCTACAGCGGGCCTGACCCCTTGCTACAGCGGTCCTGACCCCCGTGCTACAGCGGCCCCTGAACCCTTGCTACAGCTATCCCTGACCCCTTGCTACAGAGGCCCCTGACCCCTTGCTATAGCGGCCCCTGATCCCTTGCTACAGCGGCCCCTGACCCCTTGCTACAGCGGCCCTGACCCCTTGCTACAGCGGCCCTGACACCTTGCTACAGCGGTCCTGACCCCCTTGCTACAGCGGCCCCTGACCCCTTGCTACAGCGGTCCTGACCCCTTGCTACAGCGGCCCCTGACACCTTGCTACAGCGGCCCAGAGGCTCACCTAAATTGTCATGTATATTTACTTCAACTTTATCGTTTATATATTTATTTTTTTAACAATTAGTTATAAAGTACCATACCGCATGTGTTGTTAAATATTGTGTGTGTGTGTCATATATATATATATATATATATATATATATATATATATATATATATATATATATATATATATATATATATATATATATATATATATATATGACAATGTCAGACCACGGAGGAAAATGAAACAGGAATTTCCTTTAAGGAAATATTTTCCTCTGTGGTCTGACATTGTCACATATTATCACGTGTTTATTTTCGTGATATATATATATATATATATATATATATATATATATATATATATATATATATATATATATATATATATATATATATATATATATATATATATATATATATATATATGATAGTATCGTCATTTCTCAATATATTTCAGGATAAGCATGAGGCTTGTCTGTCCGGTTGTCTCAACTTCTACAAATGCCTTTACCTCGAAAAAGATGATAGGGAAAATATAGATTACGTTAATGATGTTTGTTTAAGGAACTGCAAATATGGTAAGTTGATTATTTAGCATATTACAAATAATAACTAGTACATTTAAACGTTTGACAAGTATTCTTTAGGCATTGAAGATTTATATGATTGCTCTAATGCTTATAATTTAAGTCATGAAGATGGTATATCACGCTAAATGTAACTTTGAAAGACTGGATGTGACAGGGTTTCATATTCCTCTCCCTCATCTTTCACTTATAAATTTACAGTTAATCACAGTTTTTACTTATAAGGCATCAGCAGGTAGATTGTCCCATAGGCTTATTAATATGGGAAAAGAATTTCCTATTGTATATTTCCATTAAGGCTTAACAAGCTTCAAGTTGCGATTTTGCAATTGTCCGACGTGCAGAATCCATGTGGAATCCGGCAGTTAAAAGTACTGTACAGCATTTCCTCTTTAATGCCATAATAATTTTTAATCAGTCTATTTCGCTAGTAAGACTCCTTATGTGATGGGGTTTAGATCCAAGGCTAAGTGGTGAGACATTACCAGTACGTCATTCACCACATCATGAATATAAAATATTTCTGATTTAAAACGACTAAATATCACTAAAACCTGGCACCCTATTTGCCAGACGACTATTTGTTTTAAGTCAAATTCCCCGATCTATTTTTCACAGCACATAAGGATAAGTAGTAAGGGATTGTCATATTGATAACTAGGTAGAAAATAAATTCCAACAGCTATCTATGTACAGTTCTCTGCAACTGCTGTTCAGCATGGGTTAATAGTTTAGTTCATCTGCTCGTGTTTCATTAGTGGAAACTTCCTTTCTTTGTATTCATATACAAAATATATAGTCAGACACTATAATTGCAGTATTCTTTCTTTTTTTTACAATAAACTTTATTATTAAACACATAACACTTTCATGATCAATCTCAGCTTACTTTTTATTACATAAGACTGATACATATTATTTTATCCAATTAACAGTTTTTCCCATTTTTAACAAAATAATAAAACTGCATATCTATATTATACTATTTTGTCTTATCGGGAGTAGTAATGAAAGAGGCCATCATTGTAGGGGATTTCGTGTATGGATTTAATGTATGATGCTGCTGAGGGCTGAGAATGTGCCCTACCTTGCTGGGTGTAGACAAATATTACAGGGAATCAGTTTGTGGGATATATGTGTGGCTATGCCTTGATAGAGGTTGATTTGCAATGAAGGTAAGGTGGTATTAAACTCGCATATCCTTGAGGGAAGTGTTTGGCTTCTTTTAAGTAAGGTCTCTGGGATTAAACAACGATAAATTTGACTATGTTTAAATGGTTTAATTACTACCATTTAAGCTCCCAATGAAACCATTACTTAAATTTCATACTTAATTGTAACATTCAGTAACATTTCGTTATGTGTACAACTCTGGTGGAGGTTGCGAAACTCACCCTAATGATCTTGGTATAAGAAACCATTCTTGGATGGCATACGAAACCACTCAATATTTAGCAGCTTCGGTTAATTTTTCGGTCATATGCCTATCACAGGTAACGTTTTGCAAAGCTTAACCATTTTCTTATTATTAAATACAGCGTAATATTAAATTATGAATACAGATGTGGTTTATTTGCAGAGGAAAACATTATTAGGTTCATAGGAATTACCCTGTTTGGTTACTCGACATTGTTTATGAATTATCGTCAGGTTAATTAAGTAATAAATACTGTTAATGTAATTCAGACTAGGGTAATTATACCCTATCGCAAAAAAAATTAAAATATAAATTTAACAGCTTTGTAAAGTAATAATTTATGTAAAATTTAATTTGACCTTTTATCTTGAATCTCTCGACATACTGTAAGTAGGTACGAGAAAGATCGAGGTAATTTTTATAATGCTCCTACCAAGAAATCCTAATAAGATAGATACGAGGCTTCAAAACGTTAAGTACTTGCGTAAACCCTTAATCTGGATTCACTCTAGTAAGCATTATTTCCGGAATTATTGTAAGCTGCTGTACCCGAGCGCCAGAGCTCAAGGAAACTGCAAGATTCAACCTTGCATGAAGCTACCTACCCACCTCGCATCTTGTGTCTTAAGCATGATTCAAGAAAGCCTTCGTACGAACTTTTTAAGAAATTTGTTCAAGTTCACCTGCGTGTCGACAGAGGCATTGGTACTTTCTGTTTGTCCAATTAGTGTGAAAGTAACATTGTACTTCTCATCCTTTGGGCAATCACATTACCAGTTCAACTGTAGAACTGACCAATCACTTAAAAATCACATGATATAGTTTCACATGTATACACCAATAAGTATACCCCACAACTCGAATCTGCCTCTTTGTGTATATATACTGAGTTTACTTTAGCCCTTAACTATGTTTAGAAATAAAGTATACTTGCTAGTTAGAGAGTACAGCTCTTGTGAAATGTTTAACTATCTCCCGTGGTTGGTATATGTGATAGAGAGATCACGTTAACTCGAGCTAGTGATGTACTTGTCGATGGAACTGTTGGTAATGTGCTTGCAGGTAGAACTTTGTTGGCGATGTTTTTGTCGATGGAACTGTTGGTAATGTGGTTGCAGATAGAACTATGTTGGTGATGTTTTTGTCGACGGAACTGTTGGTAATGTGCTTGCAGGTAGAACTATGTTGGTGATGTTTTTGTCGATGAAACTGTTGGTAATGTGCTTGCAGATAGAACTATGTTGGTGATGTTTTTGTCGATGGAACTGTTGGTAATGTGCTTGCAGATAGAACTATGTTGGTGATGTTTTTGTCGATGGAACTGTTGGTAATGTGCTTGCAGGTAGAACTATGTTGGTAATGTTTTTGTCGATGGAACTGTTGGTAATGTGCTTGCAGGTAGAACTATGTTGGTGATGTTTTTGTCGATGGAACTGTTGGTAATGTGCTTGCAGGTAGAACTGTGTTGGTGATGTTTTTGTCGATGGAACTGTTGGTAATGTGCTTGCAGGTAGAACTATGTTGGTAATGTTTTTGTCGATGGAACTGTTGGTAATGTGCTTGCAGGTAGAACTATGTTGGTGATGTTTTTGTCGATGGAACTGTTGGTAATGTGCTTGCAGGTAGAACTATGTTGGTGATGTTTTTGTCGATGGAACTGTTGGTAATGTGCTTGCAGGTAGAACTATGTTGGTGATGTTTTTGTCGATGGAACTGTTGGTAATGTGCTTGCAGGTAGAACTATGTTGGTGATGTTTTTGTCGATGGAACTGTTGGTAATGTGCTTGCAGGTAGAACTATGTTGGTGATGTTTTTGTCGATGGAACTGTTGGTAATGTGCTTGCAGGTAGAACTATGTTGGTGATGTTTTTGTCGATGGAACTGTTGGTAATGTGCTTGCAGGTAAAACTATGTTGGTAATGTTTTTGTCGATGGAACTGTTGGTAATGTGCTTGCAGGTAGAACTATGTTGGTGATGTTTTTGTCGATGGAACTGTTGGTAATGTGCTTGCAGGTAGAACTATGTTGGTGATGTTTTTGTCGATGGAACTGTTGGTAATGTGCTTGCAGGTAGAACTATGTTGGTAATGTTTTTGTCGATGGAACTGTTGGTAATGTGCTTGCAGGTAGAACTATGTTGGTGATGTTTTTGTCGATGGAACTGTTGGTAATGTGCTTGCAGGTAGAACTATGTTAGTGATGTTTTTGTCGATGGAACTGTTGGTAATGTGCTTGCAGATAGAACTATGTTGGTGATGTTTTTGTCGATGGAACTGTGCTTGTGGTGACGCTTATCTATTGTACTGTGTTGGTGATGTGCTTGCCGATGGAAAGGAGTTTGTGGTGTTTTTATAGGTTTTATTGTGTTAAGAGCAAGATAATACATATCCTGTTCGATTACTCGCCTATTTCTTGAGCAACTTATGTAAAAAGTTGATCCAACTTAATGGTCATCTATCATTGCAGTTTGGTAAGGCCTAGCCCTACTGTAAGTGTAAGGCCTCGCTTCAAGTGTAGGGTTACTGCCCGCTTCAAAACAGGCCATTGTAGTAATACATAGCCAATAACAGTTGATCGCTTGACTTTTTTAGCCAATATTCGTAACTAATACTTCAAAACTTGTATATACGATAAAGCAGTAATATTTATAATCATTAATAGTTTTATGTTAACAATTCTACAAATATTGTCCATTTCTAATGTTTGCAGAAAACTATTATTTCCGTAAATATATATTAATGACAATTATATTTATATTATTATTGTAAATCTATATTAATGACAATTATATTAATATTATTATTGTAAATCTATATTGATGACAATCATATTAATATGAATTACTACTTCACAGGATGTGACAGGCATTATGACATGCTCTCGTCCCAGATGTGGGCATGCAGGGTTGGATGTACATCTCTTGAACGACTCAGCTCTAGTGGGGTAAGAATATAGGTTATCTTGAGGTTACTCGAACCCAGGACCACAGGATCACAAGTCCAGCGTGCTGTCCGCTCGGCCGACCGGCTCCCAAGATAATGGTACTCAAAAGTTAACATTATTCGTAGTCCTAACGCAAGAAATATATTTAGCACTATACTTTGAAAATGACATTTATGAGAAAAGTCGAGTGTACCAAATTCATAAAATGTTATACTTTGAATTACGATTAGATTTGCATCTCAAAATGTTTTAATTAATCGTGAGGACATGCACTTATTTTTTTTTTATATTTCTACTTTTCGTCTTGTTCGTCTCATTCATCTAGACTGAACAGGAACTACTTATTACTTTGGTTATTTAAAAAAAATTATATCTTAGGATTAATAATATACAAGTTCATATAAAATCTGACCTTATTAATAATTTTGAAGATTTTCATATTAGGCAATGTTCTTAATACTAATTCAGATTAAATAGGATTAATAATATACAGATTAAATAGGATTAATAATATACAGATTAAATAGGATTAATAATATACAGATTAAATAGGATTAATAATATACAGATTAAATAGGATTAATAATATACAGATTAAATAGGATTAATAATATACAGATTAAATAGGATTAATAATATACAAGTTCATATAAAATCTGACCTTATTAATAATTTTTCAAGATTTTCATATTAGGCAATATTATTAATACTAATTCAGATTAAACCTATATATAGTAAATCGATTAACGCAAACATCAGATATGAAATAAAATAGATACCAGAAGATTGGGAAGTGACCTGCACGATAAAAGACTTAGGCCCATAGGGTATAGTAGCATCATTAGTCAATGATAACTATTCACATGCCATTGTATAATTACCCAATTGGACTCCAAGAAGAAACAGTAAGTTGTAAAGGCAAGTTACAAACATAGAGACCAGCACTCCCTTATTAACATTGATTTGATTCTTGAAACACATTAGTGAGAAAGTGTCCAGGAGCAATAGGTCTGTATATTCCTTTTAGATTTATGTATAAACAAAGGATGAAATACAATAATATATTAATGTTTGATAACCACATACATGTACGAAATGTTTAGGGGAATGTGTAGACAGAACAGACAAGGATAGATTATTTGGACTGGGTGGTACACGAACAAGAGAAAACAGATGGGAACAAATTACAGTACTAAACAAGAACCAGAGATATTAGAAAGCATATTTCCAGTTTCAAGATAATAAACAAAAGGAATGCATTAACAAGTGAATTGGTGGAAGCAGAATCCATACATAGCTTCTAATGTAGATGCGCCTCTAAGAGTCCAAAGACCCCAAAGTCACAATTAAGTGATTAGGTGAGTACACACCCAGATATACAGACAACCACAGACACTCACAAATTCTAACACTGCTTTACAGAATCGAAATCGTATTACGAACTTACTGAGTTCTACGACAAGTGACAATGAGATAAGGGCAGATGAGAAGGATGGGCTGACTACATGCAGTATTTGTAGAGTACTTAAAAGGTACCTGGGTGTTAGTCAGCTGTCACGGGCTGCTTCCTGGGGGTGGAGGTCTGGTCGAGGACCGGGCCGCGGGGACACTAAAGCCCCGAAATCATCTCAATATAACCTCAAGATAAACTAGCAAGATCTTTGTGTTGTCTTAAAAGGAAAAGATTAAACATTCCTTCCATTCTAACAACCTGCTTCCACTAGGCCTGGTTCATTGCTGCTTTTTGCACATTGTTCAAATGCATATTTTCTCACGCCATATCTACCTATAGTTTTAATTTTTTCATCGAATAATTTATCCTGCCTGTCATTTTTCTTGCAGTTATTTAAAACGTAAGGTCTTCTTTCGTGTTGTTTGATCGCGCTGTTTAAAAGTAAAGTCTTCCGACATGATTACTCCCAGGTTATTTGATGTTGATTTTTCTTTATATAATGTGATTTAACTATGTTGTACATGTGGTTCTTGTTATAATTTCTTCGTTTTTACCGTTGCGAAAAGGCTGGAATGTGTCTTTATTGACTATCATCTTTGTTTTCCGTGGCTCATTGAAAGACCTGATTTATATCAGCTCGGAGATCTGCTGTAGCCTCTAGGGTCTATTCTCAAGAATCCTAGTGTCATCTGTAAAAGGATGATAAGGTACTGTGGACTGTCCGCGTCTATCTGATCAATATAATAATGAGAGAGTACGGGTGCAAGCGAGACAAGTTACAGCCCCGCTCCTGTGCCAGGTAAGTCCACAACGGGCTCACCATAGCCCGTGCTACTTGGAACTTTTGTTCAGAGTAGCTGAATCTAAAACAACAGGGTGCAAGCACAGTACCCTGGGGACAGTTTTTCCACGGTGGATAACACTGATTTGACTTTGTACTGTTACTCCTTGCATTCTATTCGTTAAGAAATTAAAGATCCATCTTCCTACTTTGCCAGTTATTTCTTTCGCGTGCAGTTACACCATGATCACATTTGTCGAAGGGGTTTCCGAAGTCTGTATATTACATCGTCGTTTTCTGACATCCATGGCCATGTCATAGTGCATAGTGGTCTATCAATTTAGGAAGTCAGGAGTACCCCCTTTTCTAAATTCATGTTATTCGTGGTTATTTAGACGTTTTGAAAATGTGTTTTGTGATCTTACTTCTTTGCACTTTTTCGATTTTTTATGATGTATGATGCTAATTCTCTCGGTCTATAGTTTATGCGACTTTCTAATACTTTGTGGAGTGGTACGATCTTTGCTGTTTATCTCTCAGAATGTTTGGTGATATGTTTATTGTTTGTGATGTGTGTCTATGTATGTATTAACACGATGTACTGAACGGGGTGAGAATAGCTTGAGCTACCTCATCCCTCTGTATGTATTTTACATCAATAAACTTATTTCAATTTCAATTTCTTTGCTGTTTTGACTGTCGGATGATACCGGTATCCAGACTTCATTTCCAAATTATATTCAGGGTCTGTGACAGTGTTTTTTTTTTTATTGAATTTCAGTAATCTGGGACGAGTGTGTGATTATACTTTATAACCCTACAAAGTCCAATGGAGTTAGCGTGACATCTGATATATGAATCGAGGTTGGTGTTCCGTTCATGAAACATTCATTCGGGTTGTCGATCTTCAGTGTTTTTAGGGATTTTCTGAATACAGCCATACTCTATGCTCAGTAATTCACAAATTTCTCTGTTGTTATCCGTGAAAGTTCTATCTTCATTGTGCAAGAGTCCAATACTATTTCAATTTCTTTCTTTATTATACACCTCATACCCATCTCGTGGGCGGTGGTGGAAAGTGTTACAGAGGCACATAATCGGTTCAGAAACTAAACCCCATAGTTTATTTAGCTGAGCGAGTGACAATCTTTTGAAGCTAGTTACACAATTATTAATATAATTGTGTAACAATCGACTTGAGAATGGGTCCAGGACGGACCGAAACTTTTGGTCGTCGTCCCTTCACATTCTAGTGTGTGGTCTGGTCAACACAATTATTAATGTTATATAAACATGTCCATATGCAGTATATACAATAATTAACACAAATATACATACACATCGACAATATGGATGCCTACTACTACTAATCTTTTTATATCACAAGTGATTCAACAAGAGGCTCACAAAATGTCGCAATACAAGGCACTTTACATCTATGGTTAGTCACACAGTTACTAGTCTTGCTTCAAAACTAGATATAGTTTTTGTCCCTGATTTTGCAGAGTAAAAATATTTTGTGTTCCTCTCAATTTCACAGGTGGATTTATCTGTCTCCTGGATTTTATATGATTCTTGCAGCTTCAGAAGTTCAGGAGAGCGTGTAGGACGTTTAGTAGTTCGATTATTTAAGAGCATTGTTTTCGTTCGAGTTTGCGTGTTTTTTCTCCCTTTTCCTTAATTGTTTTATTATTAATATTATTATTATTTTCTACCACAGACGTGGCCACACATTTACAATGCTAACCAGAATATATATACATTTTCTTCTGTCCTCCATGGACTGGGTGAGAGATCTGTTAAACATAGTTTATGGATTTATTGAAATGTCAACCACATAAGGTGATTGCAGTGCTTTTAAAATGCTAATCTAACTTACATACATAAATACATAGATAGTGGTGGTGTGTAACTTGAGCATATCTACATATCTAATGCTACTGTGTCTATTCTCTCGAAGCACGGACAATTATATAGCTGTCTCATACATGTCTAACTTTCGATAAAGTTGTGATCTGAGTACAGTGTGTTCATAATCAGTGTTTCGAATTAGTTCATGATAGTTTGTGAAAATAAGATCCAAGGTGTTAGTTTGTGAAAATAAGATCCAACGTGTATTTTCTAGTTGGCTCTATTTACTTGTTCAAGGTAAATCTGTCATATCAGAAAGACGTCTTTTGAATGTCTGTTCATTTAAACTGCTTCCTGGGAATCTCTGATATAACGGTATTTGCCCCATTCTTCCATTTTAGGTGCCGTAAATTGATGTTACCGAGTAAGTTAATGTTTGGAGCTGGATTTTCTAAGCAGTGTTCGATTTTTATTAGTTGGTTTATAAACTACATAAAAACCTAGCCTCTGGTTACTTATATACAAGGACAACAACTACATTTAGGATTTCGAATTTGATTATCATATAATTCAAGAACATTCTTTACCGATTTATTCATCGTAGCACATTTCACCAAATATAATTTTATTAGTGGTCCGTTATACCTATGATAGAACTTTATTATATGGCCGCTGCAGTTACTAAAATAATTATTTTACTTCCCTTGACTGCAGGGGATAATTTAGGAGCTTCAGAGCTTTGATTCAGTTGTAAATTCTAAAAGAAAACGTTCTCAGATTTCAATTAATTATTAAATCTACATATATACCCTCAATTTTTTGTTTCAGATATTTGCTGCGCAAGACTACATAATGCCTGAAATTCTGAGTGATACCCCTGATATAAAAGACTTGAAGAATCCAGTTGGAGTTGTTCAAGAAACCACTCAAAACGTATCACTTGAACTTGGAGGAGTTGTTACAACTGATACGAAGTTAAGCACTTTATTAACTCCTGTGCAGATAGATAAAGATAAGACAACTAGTGAAAAGAATACACAGGAAAAAAAAAATATAGCAATTGATGTTCAAGGACTTATTGGAAACGTATCGACATCTCATGAAACTATTACAGATTTTGGAGAAGAAGGTATCACAGTACCTGAAGAGAAACACAGAGAAGAAGCAGAAAACATCTCTCTCGCTATTCTAGGTTCAATTAATAGAACAGGTTACGGTACAGAAGTTGTTACCAAACTGCGGACTGGCGAAGGGGCAACTCTGCCTGAAGTTGAAAAGGTTGAAAAAGAAATACCCAAAATCACTGGAAGGCCCGAGGCCAAATTAAAACCAGAAGTGCCTAAACCTGCAGAAAAGGGTGTGGGGAAAGCTGGAAAAAAGGGTAAGGGGAAAGGAAAAGTTGGAGTACCGGGGGCGGAAAAAGTTGGAGAGTTGGGGGGGCCAAAAGCTGAAGAGAAGGTTGAAGAAAAAGCTGGAGCAAAAGGTAAGGGGAAGAAAATAGGTGGAAAGAAAGGAGCTGGAGCTGGAAAGGGAGCTGGTGCTGGAAAGAAAGGAGCTGGTGCTGGAAAGAAAGGAGCAGGAGCTGGAAAGAAAGGAGCTGGAGCTGGAAAGAAAGGAGCTGGAAAGAAAGGAGCTGGAGCTGGAAAGAAAGGAGCTGGAGCTGGAAAGAAAGGAGCGGGAAAGGGAGCTGGTGCTGGAAAGAAAGGAGCTGGAGCTGGAAAGAAAGGAGCTGGAGCTGGAAAGAAAGGAGCTGGAGCTGGAAAGAAAGGAGCGGGAAAGGGAGCTGGTGCTGGAAAGAAAGGAGCTGGAGCTGGAAAGAAAGGAAAGGGGAAGAAAGCTGGAGCTGCGGGACCTGCACCAGCGGGACCTGGAGCTGCGGGACCTGCACCAGCAGGACCTGGAGCTGCGGGACCTGGAGCTGCGGGACCTGGAGCTGCGGGACCTGGAGCTGCGGGACCCGCACCAGCGGGACCTGGAGCTGCGGGACCACTACCAGTTTAAAACCACCATAGTAAGAAAGAAGGGAAGACAGAGAGCAGTAACGAAACAACGATTGTGGGGTCTTGAAAATCTAGGCACAAGTTTACACAGTTAAAATTATTTAAGATCAATAATATTATTTATTACTAGAATTAACATTATGGAATAGGATTACATTAACAAAATACTATATTTAATAATACATTTTCAACAAAATATCATTATGAAAGTCTCAGTGTTTTCTGATTATCATCACTTTTTGGGTTAACGAACCCTGGGTGATAAAGAGCCTTTAAGTTATATTAAATACCATTTTTTTTGTAAATAGATGGAATTAGACTTTAAGACTTTGTATGTGCTGTTATTAGTTACAGGGAATCATTGCTTGACTACTGAGTAGAATATTAAACATGTTGAGATTTATTCACAGGTTTATAAACTAATAAGGATGTAGTGTTTTAAATTGACAGCCATATTACCTATAACTCGCAAATGCTTATGGTGAGATTTATTTTGCATTTACGAATTTTATATTTTTTAGAGGCCTATGTTTAGTGGCGCTCAATGTTCATATTTGTTTTTGCAAGGATGTAATAAAACTTTTTTTTTAAATAAAGGCAGTTAGCGTTTTATACTATTTATATAATTTTCCTAATAATCATAAAGTTACTCTAGTGTCAAAATATTCTCAGGATATGGTGGTAGAGCTCGTGTTGACTATGTTTGCAGTTGAAGATAAAGCTTAGTGTAATCTAGTTTCCATATTATATAAAGACAATGCAATTGACGATCACGAAACACTGATCATTTGTATGCGGAAAATACACAGAGAAAGCCACATTTATCTGTGGATTTCCCCCATATAGACAATATATATTTCAGGTGACCAATATTCTGTCAAACTTGTACACATATCTCCAGGAGCGTAACTTTCCTGATAAAAAAGAACAGACTATCTGCCATTGTTCGAGCTGGAAAATTATTTCTAGACCAGCGATGAGAACTTATCAGTCCAGCAAACTATTAAGTATTTTCCTTCTCCAATATGAATGTTCTGACAGACATAAAATACTATTTCCAAATCAATTAAGTAGGAACAAGTAAAGCATGTCACTTATAAAACAATTTGTTGCTAAACAACTTTCAGTAAACAAATATTTAATGAAATTGAAATAAGTTTATTGAGGTAAAATACACACAAAGGGATGAGGTAGCTCAAGCTATCCTCACCCCGTACAAATGTTTAATAAAGTAGAGTAATATCAACGAGACGCCACAACTGGCTTTTGCCTCGGATGAGAGGCGATGTAGGCTTTCGTTTTGGAATAATATCAATTTCATATCCATTGTTTTAAGGTATTAATATAAATCAAGACTATTTTCGTAAATGATTGTAAATTTATAACTGGGAAAGTTTACATAAAAGTACAGTGATTTATTACAAAAGAGCGTCACAATACTAGCCTAATACATAGACATTAATCCAAAACAACTTATACATTATACGAAACATTGCAACACTGGCTGGACTACAGCAATCTAAATAACACTTACATTTTAGGCATAACGTAAGTTAAAATTTAGCTAACAATTTGAAAGATAATATATTGTAAAAACAATGAGGTTCAACATATGAGTGGTAAGACATACTGACAATTTATATCACAAAATTAAGATGATGAAAGAATTACCACACGTAAAGTTCTTCCTAGCATTTATCTCATGGCTAATTTTCAAAAGAACAAAATGTGTTGTTGTTGTTGTGTTGATTTGTGATTTGATTTGTTGTGTTGAACAAAATGTGTAAACTAGGTATTATCTAACTATCACATACGAGGAAAAGCAGCGTAGCCTAGTTTTGCATTTCTTAATGTAGATGGAGAAACTCTTAAATTTTATTATTTTATATATGATTAACTGGTATTAATTCTATTACAGTGACATTACAAATTTGAATACTGTAGATAGATTTTTCTTTCACAACAGTTTACCATCATTCCTTCAAGGCTGCCGGGCAACTCCGTCTGTAGTGGCTATCTCCTTCAGTGAATTTGTGATCATGGATTCCAGTAGTCTCTCAAGTGCTCCGGTAGGATCTCTTTCACTAATTCGTTCGCTGCACTAGTCGAGGATAAGAGTGCAGGCAATGCTATCTGTATTGCCTTGGGTATATCTATTCCACCGAGCCTAACTGGAAGCGTTGCTTAGTCTCATTGGTCATCTTTCAGGGAGAGGTTTAACACTTTCATGAATATTGCTTTTAGGAGTTTGTCATATCCTGTTAATTTTGGGCTATAGAAAGAGGGAGGAAACAATAGGAAATAGGTAAACCTGGGCAAAGCCATGCACCTTGTAAGAAGGTGCAAAGCATCCTATGCATCCAAAACACCAATTCTTTCTTACTTCCTCATCAGGTCGGCCCAACCACTTGGCTGGACGATAGAGCGACGGTCATGCAGGTCTGTGTTCAATCCCCGACCGTCCAAGTGGATGGGCACCATTCCTTCCCCCCAGTCCCATCCCAAATCCTTATCCTGGTCCCTTCCAAGTGCTATATAGATGTAATGGCTTTGTGCTTTCCCCGATCAGGATTTCCTTCGAGGATTACATCAATGGCATTTGAGCCCAATTAAAGGTGTTCCTAGCATCAACCTGTCGGTGGGGAAGATCACAGAGGCTTGTCGAGACGGATCATACTGCATCTATGATAGTAGGCTAGACGAGATGATGTCGCATTTCGAAGGATTAAGAGTGTCTTAACTCCTCTCCTTGAGATTACACCACCTGCAGATCCCTCCTTGAGCACTGGTTGAGTACTTTCTTCTACCACACCAACTAATTTTTTTATTATTTTCTTAATAATACATCTTCAGAAGGATAAAGTATTATTAAATACTTAAGTACTTAAGGAAATTCCTGTTTCAAATCCTTCCTTCGTGGTCGTGGTACATTATATATATATATATATATATATATATATATATATATATATATATATATATATATATATATATATATATATATATATATATATTATAAGATTATTAATCTTACTTTTTCGGTCATATTTAATAATATATGTGTACAGGAAAGACTACTACCAAAATATACTAATATATATATATATATATATATATATATATATATATATATATATATATATATATATATATATATATATATATATATATATATATATATATATATATATATATATATATATATATATATATATATATATATTAAAAGACATTTGAAAGGTGTAAAGCCACAAGTGAAGGAATACCGCCAAGCGGGAAGCCGCTCTCGTCAGTTTGGTCCAGACCGCGGAGAGGACCAGGTGTGCTCAACTCTTGCCCTGTAAACCCCTACTGAATAGGGTAGCATAGGGCTAGGACCCATGCGTCCTAGATCCCACCGAAAGACCTCCCTGCACTCTGAACCCTATCCATAAACCTCTACGTTCTGGACCCCCAAGTGGACCAGACGACGCCCCGGACACCGCCGGTCCACCATCCATGGCTCGTCTAACAATTACTAACACACTTCTAATCAATATTATTCTTCATGTGGCTGTTGGTATCGACGGACAAATCAACTTCATCAAGAACCCACAAGGCAAAGCGGACTGTGCCCGGGCGTGCAGGACTTATGCTAAGGTCAAAGTAAGTCCAGACGCAAAATGGGCTTCAGTATCTTACAGGAAACTTATGACACCTGTCTCTCGATGGCTTCAAACTTAACGCTGTATTTTGAAACATTTAAAGCATTTACATTTACAGTTCTTCGCATTTACATTTACAGTTGTTCTTCGCATTTACATTTACAGTTGTTCTTCGCATTTACATTTAGAGTTGTTCTTCGCATTTACATTTACAGTTGTTCTTCATATAAATGGAATTTGTGTTCACATTAATCAGAGTATGAACAACAAGTTACGTATTCACTGAGTAAGCCATAAAATGAGGTAGACTAACGCCATAATTTTACCAATATGTAGGCATAACTTACATACTAAATTTGTAAATTAAACTTTTCAAATAAATTTTAACTAGACCGTATCTCGATATGGGGTTTAAATGCATTATCATATTTTTAAACATAAAACACTATTGCAAGATTCAACTATTTTATTGTCAATTTTTTATTACCAGTGGATTAAAAAAAAATCCGTTTTGGGCTGGAAAAATGTTTCGATTAAAATTTGAATAAATGTAAATATATAGTTTTCATTTCTATTATATTAGCTATATGGGGTTGTTAGACGATTTTAAGCGAGTGACAGTTAAATGTTTAATTATAGTCAACCGTATAATGTGATCAACTTGAAATAGCAATTGTTCTAAGTAAATCTAACATCCCAAAAAATATGGCAGCCAGCTGTATATATGATCTCTGTCAATATGTAGTATGCCCAATATATATATATATATATATATATATATATATATATATATATATATATATATATATATATATATATATATATATATATCGTACCTAGTAGCCAGAACGCACTTTTCAGCCTACTATGCAAGGCCCGATTTGCCTAATAAGCCAAGTTTTCATGAATTAATTATTTTTCGACTACCTAACCTACCTAACCTAACCTAACCTAACTTTTTCGGCCACCTAACCTAACCTAACCTATTAAGATAGGTTAGGTTAGGTTAGGTAGGGTTGGTTAGGTTCGGTCATATATCTACGTTAATTTTAACTCTAACAAAAAAAATTGACCTCATACATAATGAAATGGGCAGCTTTATCATTTCATAAGAAAAAAAATAGAGAAAATATAATAATTCATGAAAACTTGGCTTATTAGGCAAATCGGGCCTTGCATAGTAGGCTGAGAAGTGAGTTCTGGCTATTAGGTACGACATATATATATATATATATATATATATATATATATATATATATATATATATATATATATGTCGTACCTAATAGCCAGAACTATATATATATAATATATAATATATACTATATATATATAAAGCAACCCTATATGAGGTATATAGTTAAAATTAACGTAGATATATGACCGAACCTAACCAACCCTACCTAACCTAACCTAACCTATATTTATAGTTTATATAGCTAGGTTAGTCTTAATATTGTCATTTTCAATATATTCCAGACTAAGCATGAGGCTTGTCTATTAGGGTGCTTCACTTTATACGAGTGCCTTTACAGGGATATAAAGGAAAAGCCCAAAACATACATAGTTCATGATGTTTGTGAGACCAGCTGTAAAGAAGGTAAATTAATAATTTTATGTAATACTAGTTGTAGTTACTTTAACATTTTGACCATCGTGCTTTAGGAACTGAAGATACTGGTACTGTATGTGTATGTTCTCTGATGAGAATATTTTAGTATAGTGAATAATTTCTCTAATGAGAATACTTTAGTATAGGTAATAATTCATCTAATGAGAATAAATTATGCTATATAGACTGTGTAGGACCCATATCACATTAATGTAACTTAAATGTCAGGCTGTCACATTAATGTAACTTAAAAGTCAGGCTGTGACACATTAAACCGAATTTTCGGATGATCCTCCATCCTTTATCAAGGTGGAGTAAACAGTAAACAAGGATTGTAAGTGCGTTTGTGTGTGTGGTATATATATATATATATATATATATATTTATTATGAACACGTTGTACTGAACAGGGTGAGAATAGTTTGAGCTACATCATCTCTTTGTCTGTATATTTATGCCTCAATAAACTTATTTCAATTTTATTTTCAAATAAATGATCGATTGTGGTAACTGTGGGCCAGGTACCGCTGGGACTTTGTCACCACTCTGGGCACCGAAAGGTTTGTGCTTATATGAATTAATACTATTTATTAATTTAGCAGTTAATCCTATCTTTTGTATTGAAAGATTTGGTACCCTTTATCGTTACTGTAGAATCTATAATTGCGCCTTCTAGTAGGCGCCTCTCTCTGATATTTGAGCTGTTATATAAATTTATATTATAATCCATCCTGTAATTGAAATCCCAACAATGATTAGCAATCACAGGATAGATTTTAATAGTAAAATTTTATATAACAGCTCAAATATCAAAGAGAGGCGCCTACTAGAAGGCGCAATTATAGATTCTACAGTAACGATAAAGGGTACCAAATCTTTCAATACAAAAGATAGGATTAACTGCTAAATTAATAAACAGAATTAATTCATATAAGCACAAACCTTACGGTGTTCAGAGCGGTGACAATGTCCCCGCGGTACCTGGCCCACACATCACAATCAACATATTACTGAACATTCTGAGTGATAAACATATACATTTCTTACATTCTTTACAAGTTCCGGCATCGATTAGGGAGTCCTTGGGGAGCATAATTATAACTGTCTAATGACGGACAGGTCATGAGGCGTTCTACCAGACACAAACGCAAACGCTTACAATCCTTACACTACACTACGCTACACACAGAAATCACAATAGCGTGATACATCAAATGAACAAATCCACAAGGACCGTGATGAGGGTTCGAATCTACGTCTGGCATGATCCCAGACGATCCCTTAGTCGACTGCGCCACATGGTAAAAGAATTGCAAACGGGAGTGTTACTGCCCTACTGTAAGATTTGTTCACTTACAGTCCTCTTTTACTGTTTACACCAACCACCCTGATAAAGGATGGAGGATCATCCGAAAATTCGGTTTAATAATACACTTACACAGATATTTAGGGTTTTTCACCTTAATTCAAACACTACGGAATTGTAGTAAGCTTCTTCATAGTAACGATAATTTTTTTTATTTATATATATTTCAATCATGATTCTGGGAATATTAACAATTCTACATATACTGTATTTCATATTTCCTTTGTTTTCAGACAAAATTGCAGTGTTTATTTATATGTAAATTTATGACAATTGTATACTTGACACTGGATCATATTAATACGAATTACTACTTCACAGAATGTGACAAGCATTATGAAAAGTTCACGCCTCAGTTGTGGACATGCAGGGTTGGATGTACAGCTCTTGATCAGCTCAGCGCAGATGGGGTAAGTACATGAGCGATTCCAACCGACTTTGGAATACTATAAACAACACCAATTATGTATAATAATTGCCTTTAATTTTGTAATGTTTTATGTGTAAATATACCTGCTTTAATATACAATCAATGTTACTAAACAAACTAAACTAAACAGTAGTCTTGTTGTAAAACATATACTGTATATTGATAATTAATTTTGAAAAAAAAAATAGTGTGCATTCATAAAACATTGTTCTTTAAGTCTGACTAGTCACAATAAGCAATATTCTTATTTGTTATCCTACATACGGTATGCAAAGGCAGACCAAATGTGCACTACACACAACTCTCATCACTGTAACCAACTACACTACACACGACCTTCATCACTGTAACCATCTACACTACACACGACATTCATCACTGTAACCAACTACACTACACACGACCTTCATCACTGTAACCATCTACACTACACACAACTCTCATCACTGTAACCAACTACACACGACCTTCATCACTGTAACCATCTACACTACACACGACTCTCATCACTGTAACCATCTACACTACACACGACTCTCATCACTGTAACCAACTACACTACACACGACTCTCATCACTGTAACCATCTACACTACACACGACTCTCATCACTGTAACCATCTACACTACACACGACTCTCATCACTGTAACCATCTACACTACACACGACCATCACTGTAACCATCTACACTACACACGACTCTCATCACTGTAACCATCTACACTACACACGACATTCATCACTGTAACCATCTACACTACACACGACATTCATCACTGTAACCATCTACACTACACACGACATTCATCACTGTAACCATCTACACTACACACGACTCTCATCACTGTAACCAACTACACTACACACAACTCTCATCACTGTAACCAACTACACTACACACAACTCTCATCACTGTAACCAACTACACACGACCTTCATCACTGTAACCATCTACACTACACACGACCTTCATCACTGTAACCATCTACACTACACACGACATTCATCACTGTAACCATCTACACTACACACGACCTTCATCACTGTAACCATCTACACTACACACGACATTCATCACTGTAACCATCTACACTACACACGATCTTCATCACTGTAGCCATCTACACTACACACGACATTCATCACTGTAACCATCTACACTACACACGATCTTCATCACTGTAGCCATCTACACTACACACGATCTTCATCACTGTAACCATCTACACTACACACGATCTTCATCACTGTAGCCATCTACACTACACACGATCTTCATCACTGTAACCATCTACACTACACACGACCTCCATCACTGTAACCATCTACACTACACACGATCTTCATCACTGTAACCATCTATACTACACACGACCATCAATGTAGCCATCTACACTACACACGACTTTCACCACTGTAACCATCTATACTACACACGACCATCATTGTAACCATCTACACTACACACGACCATCACCGTAACCATCTATACTACACAGAGGGTCCCGGAGTACCGTCGGAATTGTTCTCGACTGTGAGTCGAGAAGTCCAGGTTTGAATCCCAGGTGGGACAGAAATGGTTGGGCACGTTTCTTATCACCTAATGACCCCTGTTCACTTAACAGTAAATAGTTACCGAGGAGTTGGCTTGTTGTGGGATTGCACTCCTGTAAGGAACTCCATATAAGCCTAACATGTATATGTACACTGGCTACCTGTTCTCCGACTAATCTTTCAATGTAACCAGCTACACCTTCGTAAATGGAACCATTTATACACTATACATGATAACCATCATTGTAATTATTATTGTACTCTTTATCTTTATTGCTGTGACCATCTTAACTGTACAAAACCATCATAATTTGAACTATCTTCACCACTGTAACGACCTTCACTACACCTTTCAACAATCTTTATCTCGGGGTTATGGTTCAAATACATTTTACCTTTTGACATTTGGAAGCCTTTTGACTTGTGATGCAATTTTCTGAGAACTAATTCAAATTAAAACTACAGTGAACCAGTTAACCTTAAACTTCTGATATAAAATAAAATTGAAACAAAGATAATTAACCTGCGACCTGCATAAGAAGGCAGGTCACAGGTTAATGTATCATTGGATATGATACATTAACCTGTATCATATCCAATGATACATTAACCTGTATCATATCCAATGATACATTAACCTGTATCATATCCAATGATATATTAACCTGTATCATATCCAATGCATATGGTGGTGTCACTAGTCAAAGATGTCCATTCACCTGCCATAGTATAATTATGCAGTTGGACTCCAGAGGGAAAACAGTCAGCTGGAAAGGCAAGCACACACAAGAAGAGGGCTAACTCTCAAACGTACCAGCACTACAAATAAGCAGAACTTTGAGAAAGGGGTAGCACACAAATGTAAGACAGTTCCAGGCCTTTTCTATAAATTCATTAAAAGCAAGCTGCATGTAAAGGACAAAATCCAGAGATTGAGAATGGGGGGGGAACAGGTTCACTGAGAATGAAAAAGAAATATCTGAAACACTAAATGAACAGTTCCAAAGTGTGTTTGAGCAAAATTAGATTTTCAAGATAACCACACACACAATGCCAATTTCAGAGAACACCAAAGAGTATATAGAGGTGATTTGAGATGAAGAGGAAAATTTATTCAAGGGGCTAGTAAGAAATAAATCTGTTGGACCAGATGGAGTTTCACCTTGGGTGCTGAGAGAATGTGCAACTAAGCTAAGCATTCCACTTCAACTGGTATTCCAGACATCTTTGTTCACAAGAATCTTAGCAGATATTTGGAAAAAGGCAAACATAGTTCCAATCTAGAACAAAAATGGTAGCAGAGAAGACCCTGTAAATTATAGGCCTGTATCATTAGCAAGTGTGGTATTCAAAACCCTAGAAAAAATAGTTAAAACCAAATGGATTGAACACCTGGAGAGTAATGATATAATAACACACACACACAGTAAGGAGACGATGAGTCACAATAAAGTGAGTGAAGATATGATGACCAGACCACACATCAGAATGTGAAGAAACGATGACGTTTCGGTCCATCCTGGACCATTATCAAGTCGTGTGAGACAGGACATGATAATGGTCCAGGACGGACTGAAACATTGTTTCTTCACTTTCTGATGTGTGTGATAGATACTCATTCACGGATACACAGAAATACTGTACTCGTTCAGAAGTGTGTTGGGTAATTGTAAGAAATAAGGTTAAAGATTGTGAGTGGCATCTAACCTTTCATTTTGCCTTCTACATTCAGTAACATGAAATTAAATTGAACAACAATATTTTATTAAAGTATACTGTACATATAATTGTTGATGATTCTGTGGATCAACATTCCAGCAGCCCGTTCTCTAACTAGTCCTCCTGGTTCGTGGTCTGGTCAACCAGGTTGTTTGATGTTGCTGCTTGCAGCTTGATATATGAGTCACAGCCTGGTTGATCGGGTATCCTTAGAAATGTGTGTATCAGGTTCTCTTTTGAACACTGCGATAGGTTGGCCAGTTATGCCCAGTATGTGTAGAGGGAGTGTTCAAAAGTCTTGAGCCTTTGATGTAAACAGATTGGGGTTTTCAATGTGTATGTTGCACCTCTGCTTTTCAGTGTAACTATTTTCCACATACTGCCATGTCTACTGGTCTAGTGTGTTGTGATTTGTGTGTGCAGATTTGTAACTAGTTTTAGTATTTTCCAAGTACAGTAATATCAAAAGAATTCACCTTGTTGGGGAGACTATGTAGCACTATCAGTGTCGTAGGATTTTCAAATAGCGCTAAACATCACTGAGGACACCAATACGAGAATAAAAACACGTAAGGCGAGCGATATAAAAAATATCACATTCACCAAGTAATGTTTTCCAAGTGTAAATTATTATGCATCTCTCCTGCCAACACTAGGGAATACAGATTTAAACTTCTAATAGGCCCAGTTCATTGCAACGTGTTACATTTTGTTTAAACGCATAATATTATTTCATTCCCCATATCTATCCATTGTCTCCACCTTACTTCTGTTTACTCAAAAATTTTCTTCACCACTAATCCCCAATTTGTTGAAAATGGCAATGGCTCACTCTTCACCTATTCATACCCTTTATATTATACCATATCTTAATATACCCTTTATCCCATTTGTTCAATATGGCAACATCACTGCAGCACAATCATTATCCAATCATTCACTATTGCATGCTTTCCTGAAGAATTTTATTGGTAGTCTTGTCATGCATTGACAAAATCTAATTATATGGTCTCAACAATTACTAAGGTGTAGCTCGCTCTATTTTTTCAGCATTAGAAAGTCTGGGCCAATTTCAAAAGTAATTCTGGCTTCATTAAATCATTAAATCTGTTCACATTATACTTCTTTACACATCCAAAATAACTTATTTTTGTTTTTTAACAGTATTTACCTGCTCAAGATTTCATAGAACCTGATACTCTGAGTGATTACCCTGAACCTGATACTCTGAGCGAACCTGATACTCTGAGTGATTACCCTGAACCTGATACTCTGAGTGAACCTGATACTCTGAGTGATTACCCCAACCAGGATTATAACAAAGCAAAGAATCCTGTTGAAGTTACCCAAGAATCTTCTCAGAACATATCACTCACACTTGGAGGAGTTGTTAAAACTGATGTAAAGTCAAGCACTTTATTAACTCCTGTGCAGATAGATAAAGATAAGACAACTAGTGAAACGAATATACAGGAAGCAAAAAATATATCAATTGATGTTCTAGGACTTATTGGAAACATATCACGATCTCATGAAACTGTCACAAGTTATGGAAAAGAAGGTATCACAATACCTGAAGAGAAACACAGAGAAGCAGCAGAAAACATCTCCCTTGCTATTCTGGGTACGATTAACCGAACAGGTTACGGTACAGAAGTTGTTACCAAACTACAGACCACTCCAACAAAATTACCAACTCGGGCTAAACAAAAAAAGGTCAAGGGCAAGAAAACATTTGAAAAGAAGGGTGAGAAGGAAAAGGTTGGAGAAAGGGGTAAGGGAAGGAAAGAAGTGAAGAAAGGGGCTGCAAAGAAAAAGGGGAAGGGAGAAAAGATTAAAAAAATAGTTGAAAAGAAAGGAAAGGGATTGAAAGAGGGGGGAATGAAAGCAGGGGGAAAGAAAGTGGGGGAAAAGAAACTAATGGGAGAGAAAGTAGGGGGAAAGAAAGTAGGGGAAAAGAAACTAATGGGAAAGAAAGTAGCAGGAAAGAAACCAATGGGAAAGAAAGTAGGGGGAAAGAAACCAATGGGAAAGAAAGTAGGGGAAAAGAAACCAATGGGAAAGAAAGTAGCAGGAAAGAAACCAATGGGAAAGGAAGTAGCAGGAAAAAAAACAATGGGAAAGAAAGTAGGGGGAAAGAAAGTAGAGGGAAAGAAACCAATGGGAAAGAAAGTAGGGGAAAAGAAACCAATGGGAAAGAAAGTAGAGGGGAAGAAACCAATGGAAAAGAAAGTTGAGGGAAAGAAAGTAGGGGGAAAGAAAGTAGAGGAAAAGAAACCAATGGGAAAGAAAGTAGGGGAAAAGAAACCAATGGGAAAGAAAGTAGAGGGGAAGAAACCAATGGGAAAGAAAGTAGAAGGGAAGAAACCAATGGGAAAGAAAGTAGGGGGGAAGAAACCAATGGGAAAGAAAGTAGGGGGAAAGAAACCAATGGGAAAGAAAGTAGAGGGAAAGAAACCAATGGGAAAGAAAGTAGGGGAAAAGAAACCATTGGGAAAGAAAGTAGAGGGGAAGAAACCAATGGGAAAGAAAGTAGAGGGGAAGAAACCAATGGGAAAGAAAGTAGGGGGAAAGAAAGTAGAGGGGAAGAAACCAATGGGAAAGAAAGTAGGGGGAAAGAAAGTAGAGGGGAAGAAACCAATGGGAAAGAAAGTAGAGGGAAAGAAACCAATGGGAAAGAAAGTAGAGGGAAAGAAACCAATGGGAAAGAAAGTAGGGGGAAAGAAACCAATGGGAAAGAAAGTAGAGGGGAAGAAACCAATGGGAAAGAAAGTAGAGGGGAAGAAACCAATGGGAAAGAAAGTAGAGGGAAAGAAACCATTGGGAAAGAAAGTAGAGGGAAAGAAACCAATGGGAAAGAAAGTAGGGGGAAAGAAAGTAGAGGGGAAGAAACCAATGGGAAAGAAAGTAGAGGGGAAGAAACCAATGGGAAAGAAAGTAGAGGGAAAGAAACCAATGGGAAAGAAAGTAGGGGAAAAGAAACCAATGGGGAAGAATGTAGAGGGAAAGAAACCAATGGGAAAGAAAGTAGAGGGAAAGAAACCAATGGGAAAGAAAGTAGAGGGGAAGAAACCAATGGGAAAGAAAGTAGAGGGGAAGAAACCAATGGGAAAGAAAGTAGAGGGGAAGAAAAAAATGGGAAAGAAAGTAGAGGGGAAGAAACCAATGGGAAAGAAACCAATGGGAAAGAAAGTAGAGGGGAAGAAACCAATGGGAAAGAAAGTAGAGGGGAAGAAACCAATGGGAAAGAAAGAAAGTAGAAACCATTGGGAAAGAAAGTAGAGGGAAAGAAACCAATGGGAAAGAAAGTAGGGGGAAAGAAAGTAGAGGGGAAGAAACCAATGGGAAAGAAAGTAGAGGGGAAGAAACCAATGGGAAAGAAAGTAGAGGGGAAGAAACCAATGGGAAAGAAAGTAGAGGGGAAGAAACCAATGGGAAAGATTGTAGAGGGAAAGGAAACAGGAGCAAAGGCAGCAGAGGGAGAGGTAGGAGAAAAGATGAAAGATGTGAGAATGACACCAAAGGAAATGACACCAACAAAAATGACACCAGCAGAAATGACACCAGCAGAAATGACACCAACAAAAATGACACCAGATGAAATGACACCAACAAAAATGACACCAGCAGAAATGACACCAGCAGAAATGACACCAGCAGAAATGACACCAGATGAAATGACACCAGCAGAAATGACACCAGCAGAAATGACACCAGCAGAAATGACACCAGTAGAAATGATACTAACAAAAATGACACTAACAAAAATGACACCAGAGGAAATGACACTAGAGGAAATGACACCAGATAAAAAGATACCAGAGGAAATGACACTAGAGGAAATGACACCAGATAAAAAGACACCAGAGGAAATGACACCAGAGGAAATGACACCAGAGGAAATGACACTAGAGGAAATGACACCAGATAAAAATATACCAGAGGAAATGACACTAGAGGAAATGACACCAGATAAAAAGATACCAGAGGAAATGACACTAGAGGAAATGACACTAGAGGAAATAATACCAGAGGAAAATACACCATAGTAAAAGAGAAAGGAAGACAGAGAGCAACAAGGAAACAACGAGTGTGGGGGGTCTTGAAAATCTAGGCACAAGTTTACAGGAAGTTAAAGTTAGTGTTTAAGATCAGTAATATTATTTGTTACTTGTATTAACATTATGGGAATAATTTGATTACATTAACAAAATGTTGTATTTTAATTATTTATCTGAAACAACATACTGTACCTTTATAATGAAAGTTGAAAGTGATCTTTGATGTTTTAGTATCAAAATTACTGCTAAAGAACCCTATTAGGCTCTAAATAGCCTTTACATTATTCTAAACACTATGTTATTTGTTTTATTGACAGGTGGAATTAAACTTTGTGTGCTGTTCTAAGTTTTAAGGAGTCGTTGTTTGATATAGTGTAGCATAATTTTTACCTAATAATTCATGTGAATATACAAATTAGAAGTTTCTAGAAATGCATTAGTTTAGGAATATAGATGCAAAAACTAGTATTATTTAATAGTTTCAGGTACATTTCTTAAATTAAAAAAAAAAAATGCATTTTTGTTATTAGTGATTTAACATATTTTGAGACTAGTTCACAGGTTTACATTTTAGTGATGATATATTGTTTTTAGTAACTGTGACTCAACCACATTGCCTGTAGCGTACAGATGTTTACGGTGAGACTTGAATGAAATGCAAAAATACAAAGTACAGGTAATTTAATTTGATTATGCAGTGGCAACTAATGTTTATATTTGTTTTTGCAAGGATATAATGTAACCTTTTATAATAAGAGGCAGTTTAAATTTTATATTATGATTACCGGTATTTCCAATAAGCATAAAGTTACTCACTAGTGTACAAATATTCTCAGGTCATGGTGGTAGAGTCGTATTCACTAAGATTGCAGTACAACTTGGTTTATAGTAGCTTCCTCCTTTTTATATATATAAGGTGGAATCATTTTTTGTAAACAATCATATATGTAACTGTATAACCTTGTATAATAAAGTGTACAACATAAAAAAAAGGGGGTGGTAGGAGGAGTGAACACTCATACGTATTCAGAGTTAAATGGCAAGTTTTTCTCTGAATGCTCTGTGTTCCCTTCTTTGAGGCTGTGGGTCCCTACAATTGCATCAGAGGTGGTACCCCCCATATTATATATATATATATATATATATATATATACAGTGGCACCTGGACTTACGATTGTACCGCATTAAACAGCTTGCCCAGTTGAGCCAAAGAAGTCCACCATTGCCTTCCAAAGGAGAGGGGCGAGCAACTTGGGCATTGTCTCCACAGCCCCAACTGCAGGCAACAGAGGCACAATCCCAGTACCAAAGCCAGTGCATCCAGCCCCACTCAAAGCTGACCAGAGAACAGCTGTATGACAAGACAAGAAGCACAGCATGATAACCAAATGGAAATGAGCCCTGTGATCCCCTGCAATCAGAGGCTCAGAAAAAAATGGCAGGCTCACATGGAGCTGCCAAACACCCACATTCCAGAGACAGGGTCAGAGTACAGGCAAACAATGAGAACAAATGAACAAAGTACCAGAACCAAGGAGCATAGCATGATCCTTGTACACTAGCCGATTTCCATAAGCAGTCAAGGGTAACCACCAGACAATGTTTCCTGTGAGTTAGAGCACAAGTTTTTGTAGTAAGAACTTTAAAGCTGTGTATGGCAGCCCAAGACAACACACTATCGATTGTAAGCTGGTTTTTGGTGAAGTGTGAAATCGGTATCCCAACACTAAGTAATGACTGGCATTTTATTTATATTTAATTTTATTGTCAGTAAATATTGTAGATTAAAATGGAATCTTTTAATTATTGTGCATGGGAGGGTGTGTGGAGTGCCATTGTGAACAGTGGATGTGTTACAATAGTTGTGTGTAAGGCACAAATTAAGAGAGTGAAAATTGTGAGGCGGATAGAGTGTAGATAGAGATTACAAGATGACCTGGACAAATTGGAGTAATAGTCCAGAAAATGGCTACTCAAAGTTTAACTCAAGTGTAAAGTAATGAAATTAGGAGAAGGAAGCAGGTGGCCAAACACAAGATACCATCTGGGAGGTGATATCCCTCAAAAGTCAAGTAGAGAGAAAGATCTGGGAAGTTGATATCACACCAAACCTGTACCCTGAATCCCTCATCAAAAGAATATCTTCAGTGGCATATGCTAGGTTGGCCAACATAAAAACAGCCTTTAGAAACTTGTGTAAGGAATCATTCAGAACCTTGTATACCACGTATGTCAGACTATTCCTGGAGTATATAGCTCCAGCCTGGAGTCTATACCTAGTTAAATACAAGACAAATTTAGAGAACATTCAGAGGTATGGCACCAGACTAGTCCCAGAACCGAGATGTATGAGTTACGAGGAAAAGCTATGGGAATTAAACCTCATACCCCTAGAAGACAGAAGAGTTAGGGGAAACATGATCATCACCTACACAATTCTTAAGAGGAATTTACAGGATGGATGAAGACAACTAATTAGCATGGGTGGAACACGAACAAGGGGACACTGGTGGAAATTGATTACTCAAAACAGACACAGTATCTTGTAGAAGATGGAAATGTGTGTTTGGAGATGTTGCTGTGAGGCATTACCTCAATTTTACTCTGTACAGAAAGCTTTTTAAATCGTGTAATAACTGATTTCATACTAGTATTGTGTCCTCTCACATGTTTAAAATTTTTGTACTGTAATTTATGCATCTAAATGGCTTGTTTAAATCCTTCAATTTTAAAATAGTTGTGTGGTTCATTTTAACTCCCTCTTGATTGTGAAGAACTGACATTTTGCTTTTAAATTCTTCCTTAAATACCACCCCCATCCCCACCATACAAGGTTGCCAACGTAAAATGCCGAATAAACCTCAGTTCGAAGAGGAAAGGTAAGACTGTTAAGGGCATAAGGAGATATATATATTTAACATATTTTGAATTACAGATGTTTGCAAATATAATGAAAGCAAAAAGATTGTTCAATATATTAAAAACCTTGCAATACTTTACTGAGTTTTTAAATTAAGTAAACTTCAAGACTATACTGTACTGCAAATGACAAATAATAGCAATTACTTTGTAATTTCTGGCTATAAATTTAATTGTAGACTAAACACTGTGTAGACACGTAAAAATTCCACTGAACCTTCCCATTATACAAAGCAATGTAGTAGAACACACACTTTAGACTGTCCAAACCAGTTACATGTCCACTGCTTCTATTACATAAACCTTACACTGGATGCAGGACAAAATCATGCTTCACTCCATTCTACTATATTTATTTATTCATCAACCATTATACTGTACATACAATGTCAGAGGACTAATCTGCTTAACAAAATAAGCCCTCCCTACAACAAGATAAATCATTTACTTACAATAATTGGCATTAACAGGAGCAAGGGCCACTAATATTTACATAAACAATTTCTTAAGAATAATCCCAGAAGGCAAAAACTTGGAAGATGGAATCAATATTGTGTTCATTTGAACAAAGTTAGAAATGCAAAGGCATCAGCAAAAAAATGAAAATAATTATTTAGTGTTCATTATTTCCAAACTGGAAAGATAACTGGAAAAAATGAAGAAAAGAATTGTAGATGTAAGTTCATACAATGGCTGATACAAGAAACATATGTAAAGTCACTTTCGGCTTGATTTACATATCAAAATAAGGCAGAGACGTTTAAAACATGCAGTTCACAAAAAAAAAAAAAACAGTAGAACCTCCACACATTACCAACTGAATAAGATTTGATTAAAAGTATCAATTTCCAAGGCAAAATAACATTAATAAAGATTACTGTATTTAAATAAGTCAATAAATCAGCATGAACCTTTTTCCAGCCTAGAAATGTGCAATACTTTAAACTTATTGTGACCCCTGACTTTGGACATACTGTACTATAAAGTCCGTTATCATTAAGTTATCATTAAATATGACAGTAAATACAAGAATGGAACACAGTAAAGCAACAATCTGCACTGGCTCCAGACCTCTTCATAATAATAGGCAGTTTTCATCACAAATTTCAATTGAATCTGCAAAGAATCTAGAGTTATCAATTGGAAACTATTTGGTACTGTCATAGGTGACTAACTCCCAAATTAACAAATTGTGGATTCAAGAAAATGGTAATTACTGTTAAACTAAATTATAGTATTTGTCAATTATTTCTTATATAGGAAAACTGCCTATCAGTTAAAATATCTATGGTATCAGGTGTTGAAATATTAAATATAGTGTATGACCTTTTAATTTATATCTTTTTGGGTCGAAGAAACTTAAAAATTGATTTATTAGAATAGTTTTCTGACTGGCACTACTGTATCTGCTGTATAATATATTTTAAAAGATACATAAATACAGTTTTAACAAACTTCTCCAGAAAAATATAAAAAATATAAACTTTGCAAAACAGCATCACAAGATACTTAAGACTTAATGAAGCGAGAATAACCAATTTGATCAAGGTTCTACTGCATGGAGCTAAGCTTCACCAAACACCTATAACATGTCTTCATCTGCATTACTTGTGCAGGCTTTGGAGATGTGAGTGCAAGTGATGCACAGACCTAACATTCATGTGAATGGTTCTCTTGCCACATCAATATTTTGGGCAGAGTTAGAAGCTTGCATTCATGGTGATACACAATATGCATTCTGCCACATTATACGTTGCATAATTAGGATAACTTGCCTTCAGTGTACAGCAACTTGTGTTGGGAGGAAAATAAAGACTGCATTTATAGTAAGTAAAATAATCACACATGGATGTCACTGAAGGAAGCTATTAACAAATTTTTAAGAGTAATAAAGCATTTCAATTAAATAAATATATAGAAGAAATTGGCATAGTACTAAAGACAAAGAAATTGTAAGACACTATATACAGTTTTAAACATATTTGCCTAATTTAAACAAAAACAAAAATGCTATTGATGAATATCCATTTCAAAAAAATATAAATGAACAATCCATTATTTCACGTCTTCCCTTTTTCCCGTGTATGTGCATGTACTTACTGTGTGTGTGTGTGTGTGTGTGTGTGTGTGTGTTGTGTTTTTTGTGTGTGTGTTTGTTTTGTGTGTGTGTGTGTGTGTGTGTTTGTGTGTGTGTTTGTTTTGTGTGTGTGTGTTTTGTGTGTGTGTGTGTGTGTGTTTGTTTTGTGTGTGTGTGTGTTTGTTTTGTGTGTGTGTGTGTGTGTGTGTGTGTTTGTGTGTGTGTGTGTGTGTGTGTGTGTGTGTGTGTGTGTGTGTGTGTGTTTTGTGTGTGTGTGTTTTGTGTGTGTGTGTGTATGTTGTGTGTGTGTGTGTGTGTGTGTGTGTGTGTGTGTGTGTGTGTGTGTGTGTGTGTGTGTGTGTGTGTGTGTGTGTGTGTTTTGTGTGTGCGTGTGTTGTGTGTATACATGTTGTGTGTGCACATGTCTGTGCACATGTTGTATGTGCACATGTTGTATGTGCACATGTATGTGCACATGTATGTGCACATGTATGTGCACATGTTGTATGTGCACATGTTGTATGTGCACATGTATGTGCACATGTGTGTGCACATGTTGTGCGTGCACATGTTGTATGTGTTGTATGTTGTGTGTGTGTGCATGTGTTATTTTTCAGAAAGCCGTAAGAAACATTACCAGGGTAGGACTAGGCGAATCAAATCTATTCCCATTCTGAAGAAAATCACCAGTACTGGAATGTTGGTTTCATGTAGGAATTTTTTGTTTTCTAAGGCAAAATTGCATCATAGTATATAAAATTAGAATAATTCAGAATTGGATACAACCTACAATGTCTTGGACACTTGAAATAAGAAGTGTCTAATAACAAGAAATAAATAGTAACATCTTTGGCTACTAAAAATGGGCAAGTATCACAAAGGGATGTATGGCAAAGATGGGACAATCACTAATCTTGAGCCTTTGCTGAAATCCTATACCAAGATTGGAAATTAATTTCATATCCATGTCTGAAAATGACATTATAAAAACATTTTCCCCCTTAAAACAAATTTACAATGTTCAGTGTCCCTACAAAAATCACATAACTCATGATTTAAGAAATGTACCAAGCAGTGATTAGCTAATGATATGGATCAGAAGGGTGGGAGCTGTAGCCCTTTGTTACGGCCAAACTAGATTTGATTTAGCTTGGCTAAAATGGGGCAAATATGTACACATTTCAGACACACTTAACGTCACTGACTTACACAGGTTATATACACTAGTATAATACATAGCTATTCAAGTGGTTTACCTCCTCCTCCTCCCATAAAATATTGTATCATTGGTTTACTAGAAATGGAAATCAAAGGCGTGTCACAAACAAAAAAATCCTGTTTAACCTGTAAGCATGCATAATAAACAAGACTACAGCTGAATAATTCACTGTAACCATCACCAGGGAGCTGGTTGATGCACTGTAACCGTTACAGGTACCAGGGAACTGGTTGATGGTGCACTGTCACCATTACTGGGGAGTTGGTTGGTGGTGCACTGTCACCATTACTGGGGAGTTGGTTGGTGGTGCATTGTGCTCACCTACATATGGGCACCCGTCAAGACACTGCATTTGAGGCACTGAGGTCACAAGGTATGTACAATGCCATGCTGTTCATTGTTTCCTTCATTAAACGCAACAGATTTCTAACTGTCTATCGAGTTTCCCTGATCCTCTCAAATTTGTTGTTCAAGTAGTTGTTGAAAATGATAATGAAAAATTTAAATACGGAATAAATTAGGTTAAGTAATAAATACAATACTCCCAACTATTTTTTCTCTCGTTTCATATATGCCCCCAAAAATAAAAAAATAAATGCATATTGCACAGGATAGGATTACAGGTATTTCAGAATGGTAGCCTTCCTGCCTGAATCCCCAAAAGAGCCTCGAGTACATGATGTTGAAGAGGAAGAAAACTTCAATACAGACTATTGTCACTCAAAATACAAAATGCGTAAGATGCAGGGGCAAAGTCTCACTTAGAATTAATTAGTTTATGCTCCATGATAGTTCCACTCTCACCATATCAAAGTATATATGCAGCATTTTCTGTGAGTTTTGCAACTGTTGCACACAGTTAGATAAATTAACTATCACTGATACACAACAAGTACTTGGAGTTCTCTATAGTCCTTGTTTACAAACACTGTCCCAGAACTTCACCGCATTAAATTTTCATGCGCTTGCCTGATCCTTGCTTCAGTCATATTGGGAAGGAGTTTAGAAAAGAGGTCACGAATAAACGCATCAGTAACGCCAGGGCTTGATCGCTCTGCCGATTCAAATGCCGACTTGAGTTCCTCAATAGCGTCGGTTCGGTGGGCATCTCCACCTCGACCAGAGTGTCGATGGCGGCGCTGAAGCTGTAGAAAGAGGTGTCAGCAGTGTCAAATATGCATTAAAAAATTATACATTATGCTGCTATCTTCATTGTTTGATGCCTTAATAGACTCTCTCACACATACATGAAAATAATGTGCCTGTTTAGGTGAGGACACAAGAAACTTGACTAATGTCATTATCACATCTAATTAATAGTACTGGAATACTTTAAAACACTTTCCCACTCACTGCAGTAAACACTATTTTTCCTTGTACAGTAATAAATAAATACTGTACACCATACATTTTACCCATACAATGAAATATTGCTGTTTCACTTCAATTCACACCATGTGTAGGGAATAACTGATTTTTGTACACATAATTGACAAAAACAGTGATTGAGTACTGTCTATAGGCCTACAATATAATATGTACATCAATAGTGCACATAAATCTCTTCCAGACACAGCTTAAAGGAAGATTCTTGAAACCCACTCCATTGTATCATGTAATTTTGTCCAGAAATAGATTCAAACATTGGTGAGAAACACCAAATTGTGATTTGATGATAATCGCACTAGTACGTGATATCGCACAGTACCGATAAGCAATTAAAGAATTGCAAAACATTTTCATGGGTCTAGAACCCCTAGACTCCCCCCCCTCCCTCCTAGAAAAAAAGATTTTTTTTCACTTTGGCTGAGGGATAATGTTATTGCAGTCCTTACACCAATACACGTAGTTTGGGAGAGGACATTAATCCTGTCCACAATGCACCAATATATTTGTAAAAATTCCATTATCATCTTCCGATTATTATGGGACTTTTTAAAATGTGTGCCAATTTGATTTCACAATGAACAATGTAGCAAAAAAATTGAGGTGAGAAAACTGGAAAAAAGTTTATAAACATTGGAGTGTGGTTGTGCGCTCACGGGCAATGCTCGGCCTATCTTGCGGTGTGCTGCGGGTGGCCCTCCGGGCCAGGCAGTGTTAACTATTACATCCATATAGGCCATAATTTACATCAAATATAGCAAAAAAATCTTGAACACCCAGAAATTTTAAATATAAAAACTAGCACCAGTGACAAATAACTAAAATACGAGCCTAAAAGGAGCTAGATTTCGCTTCCGATGATCCTGGTAGATAAACACTGACCAATCGCACAGCAATTTTTCCCACATTTTTCCAATCTATATTCTGCCAATCGCTTTGCCCACAACACTAAATAAACAAACTAATGTCTCTAGAATTCATTCAGTTATATATATTCATTTCATTTATATACATAGGTAGAATTACAACTGTTTTACAATCCCCTGGCACAGTACTACTATCTCTTATCATGAGGTCAGTTAACACCATATGTACATGCATGCACATGAATAACAGTGTTTAACCACGAAGGAAAATGAAACAAGAAATTACAGTACATTAATACACATCAAGATAACTGGTATAGGAGCTAGTGCCGTCGAGGAGGCCGCCAAACAATACCCTCGTATATTATTAAAAAGAATTAACAGGCAGTCCTCCCTCTCTTCTCTTCAAGTAACATTCATCCCTTACCAAGCCTTAACACACATTATGCTGGTATGTCTGGCAGGGACATATTTTAATAGTACTATAAGCTTCCATTTTAATTTTGCAATGTATTTTCAACAATTTAATAGTTTTTTTGAAGAATGCATCTTAATACAGTAGTACATCAATTTACCTTGAGAAAATTTATTTTGATTTGTTTCAAAATATATACTGTACCAATTTCCAAGAATGAATCCTGGATGTAAATAGAAGGAATACTGTATGACTAGAAATAAAAAAACAAGCACCTCCATACTCCAGCAATCACCACTTTGAAAGACCATGTGTACTTGTCTGGTCAACATGTGTACTTCTTGTGAACTGTCATATACATTACAGTACTTTATACCTGGAGCAAACCTGGAGAGGGTTTCGGGAGTTCTTCTACTTCCCAAGCCCGGCCTGGGGTCAGGCTCAACTTGTGATAACCTGGCCCAAAAGGATGTTGGTTGGAGTGACCCGCAGGCCCACACATCCATTACAACCCAGTTGGTCTGGCACTTCTTAAGAGAAACTTATCTAATTGTTTCTTGAAGTAGTCCACCTCTATTTTGGCAATATTTCTTATGCTTGTTGGGAAAGTACAGAACAGCTGTGGACCTCTGATATTCATACAGTGCTCTCTGTCTAAGGCATCGCTACTCCTCACTGGTTCCATTCTGCATTTCCTTCCATATCTTTTGCTCCAGTATGTTATTTTACTGTCTAAATTTGGGACCTGGCCTTCCAGTATCATCCATGTATATATTATTTGATATCTCTTTTATCACCTTTCCAGAGAGCTCAGTATATACGAATGCATTCACTCCTATCTTACACATCATGGTCACAAAGCCTTATCTCTTACCATATCCCGTGTAGTGTTCACACTCCGTCCCTCCCTCACACACACACACACATTCATCATGTCTACATGCCTTCTTCCCAGCCTTCCTCTCCTCCTCCTACTCTCAAACTGACTTGAGAATACCCTCTTTACCAGTCTACCATCATCCATTCCCAAAATGCAAAATCTCTGGAATTACAACTTTTCAATTGTATGTTTTACAAGAAAAACTATAAACTTTCCCTTTAATAATACAAATGTAAGCAGTTTTCCAGGTGATTCTTGAAATGCTGTTCACAAAAATACTGGCTTGACATGGCTAGGCACAATATACTCAGGAACATGAAACAAACTCTAGTGAGTTCTTACTCTAATACACTGTGCATTAGAGTTTTTGCACAATGCACAAATTCTGCACAAATGCATGCACAAATTAAGGACAATCTGCACAAAGTGCAAATTGTTTAGTGGAACAAACAAGTGTGTTTTTCAGTGAGGACTGTTAGCTCTCGCCATGGCGAGCCTGGCTCCCGCCAAACACACACTGAAACTACGACGTTGGTACAAAGTTTTAACACCCCCTAACCAGTTATAACAACCAATATAGCAAGTTGTAACAACGTTCTAATACGTCATAAACACGTTAAGCCAAGATATAACAACTTTATTACAAGTTGTAACAAGCGGAAAATAGAGACTGTTTCGGTTTGTGTTTCCAGGGCTGTATTCACCTATTTGTGCTTGCGGGGGTCGAGCTCTGCTCTTTCGGCCTGCCTCTCAACTGTCAAGCCCGTAACAGCTGTTTAACTCCCAGGTACCTATTTACTGCGGCTAGGTAACAGGGGGTATCAGGGTGAAATAAACTCTGCCTATTTGTTTTCCGCCATAGCTGGGGATCGAACCTGGACCCCTAGGATTACAAGTCCAAAGAGCTGTCCACTCAGCCACAGGCCTCCCCATCACTGTAAAGTGACTGTCGTGACACCGCTGTGTTATTAGCCACAAAATCCAATTATAAACTACTGTACAATGCATAGAGTCTTTTATATGTCATATAGAGTCTTTTACTTAAATATGACATTATTTTACATATTAAATACTGTAATAATATTCAACAAATATGTGCAAAACAACCAAACATTAATCTATTATTGCGCCATATGGTATTGTGGAGGGTCCATGCTCAAAGGCATTTTAATGTTGTTCAAATGCTGTATTAATAAAATACACAAAAACTTGCAACAAAAACACTAAAATACAACAATTTATTATACTGTATTACTGTCAGATGTTAATAACTCTAAACTATACACAAAATGATCAAACCTGATACAGTATAAAACTGTTTCCACGCCATGGGTAACTCCTGTACCTTTCGAACACCCAAGATGCTTCGTCGGCAGCCCTGTTATTGCTACATATCACACTATCTGTTACTTGCACATTTTTATTAACAATATGTCTTGCTGCAGCAACCATGGTGCTCAAGGTGGCAAGAAAGTGCAAATACATTTCTACCGGGGAGAAAATTTGACGTATAATTCGTGGGGTGAGCCGGCATCAGCTGACTGCACTAACACCCACCCACCCTCCCTGTCTCCCTCAAGTTGTTCACCAATGATCACTATTCTATGATCAAAATGAAGAATGTATAATAAATTAATGGAATTTTTTGTATTTAATGTTTGGGAAAGATTAATTATGTGGATTTGTACTTTCCTAAATGTGCTTCAGGGTTATTATAAAGTTATTGCACCACACTACTCTTCTGGTAAGTGACAAACCTGTACAGCATACACAGTACAGTGGATGTAGGCCCTCTCAAATAATTTGTATATATTTATTTTTTATGCTTGGGAAGGGGGTTGCCAAGTGTCTGATCAGACGAATGAAATTCCTCACTTCAAGAAACTACATGGGGCTTTGTGCCATACAGTTTGTTCAAGGAAGTTCGCACTGGATATATATATCTCTTATGTTACTATATTCATGAAGAAATAGGTGATCTAACTATTGAGCAGCAGGTATAAACAAATTTGAACAAAATTTATGTGATGAATATATTGCTGAATGTTTAATCAAACTATGAATAGTTTTACAGACTATCTATTGCAACTTTCATGGCTACATTGATTAAATAAAACATGTTTTCTTAAGTTGCAAGAGGAGTTAATACAGCTAGTTTTGTTAGTAATCTATAAGAAGTTCAATACTGTATTAATTATAACTATTGGTATATCAATATAATGGAACATCTACAGTGCAGACCAAGCAAAGTGAACAAAAAATCCCTTACCTCGGAGATAAGTGGTAGTACAACCCCAGCTAATGTGCTCGCACTTGCTGGAGGAGATTTTGCTCTTGGAGGCTGTGGATGTGAAGAACTAAGACGATGCTCTGGCCGCCTTACTTCACGACCATCCACTAAACTTGATCTATTGTCCCTTGGGTGATGAGCCTCTCGACTGTGGCGTCTGTCGTTGAATTCATTTCTATCTGGACGGTCAGTATCATTCCTGGAATCTTCCGGTTCAATTCGCATGTCTGTTAGCTCTCTCGACAGTCGTCGATCATCACCATTTGTATGTGATTCACTAGAACGTGGAGAAATGTCCATGTCTCTCGAAGTTCTGTGATCCATGTGACGAGAATCTCTGCGTTTTTCGTTTTCAACTGGAGGTGGTGGTGCTACTGATGTTGGACGTGTCTGTTGGGGGAAAAAATTTAATTATATATAAATATATTTAAATCTGCCTGCTTTGCTTTTTATATCCTCCCAAACTTTTTCCTGTACACACCTATTGGCCCTTAGGAGGCTGCTCCTATTTATATCCATGTTATATATATATATATACATATGAGCTGCCTTGTATGAGCCAACAGACTTCCTGTAGTTTCTCTACTGTTATGTTCAAATGATGTTTAGTTGACCTGGTATATTTCATTACAACCATATAGAGTTGTGAAAACCATATGAACATAATTGATATACAAGTCATGTAATTAAAATAAGATTTAGTATATAATGCTAACTGCATTTGCATAGAACGCATTCATGAAATGATGGCAGGATTTTTACAGGGTCAATGTAAAGTCCCTACATCCATATAGAGCTATTATATTCATATTAGCATCAATAGTGTAAAACCCAGACAATAATAGTTTAAATCAATGTATGATGACAACCACACTTTAAGGGTTAAGCAACTCACTGGTGATGATGTCTTTTCTCTGTAGACTACACCATTATTTTCCTTGGGTGGAGAATGAGCCTGGGAAGACATGGAAGATGCTGGTAAATTGTTAAACTGAAGTGGCGGCGATGACGACAGTGGGGAAGTGGAAGTGACTGGAATATCATCCTGTTTGCTTGTTGGTGACAATCCACCAGGAGGACCCTTTACAGTCATAATCCACGCTGGATCTTCAACATCACTTTCAACTCGGCTATCCTCACTGGAAAGAAAAAATATTCAATTACCGTACTATGTGCATCATTCGTCTACGTAGTGTTAGCATCACATACTCCATCATAACATTACTTAGCCTGTGGGTGAGCCTTCCTTACCACAGCTAGGATGAAGAACTGCTGGAGAGTATTTTACTCACATGAGAATGTGTAAACTTGAATAATGAGGTTAATATCTGCTTGTATCTGTACTTTAATGTATAATTTTGGTCAAACAAGACTGCATCACGTCTAACTCTGACATCACATCCGTCGACACCCCTTTACAGGTCACATAACCTAGGATAATAAATGGAAGGGGACCTATGATGTCAAGTGTCAGTGAGACCACCGGTGATTGGGCAGTGGTATGTCACTAGTGTTTTCTATGTCATGGAGTGAGACATCATCTTGCTACTTCGTTATCATTAGAGCTTTAATGGCTTCATTAAGCCCCATAGGGTAGACTGACCCAGAAATTTAAACAGTGATGAAAAGGACTGAGACTGTGTTTTAGTGTTTTAACATTTTAAAAATATCACCTTGCAAATACAAAAAAAAAAACTTGTGATACATTTGTATGCAAAAATAAAAATAAATGTGATTCTTTTCTAGCCATACTTGGTTTGCATGGTAGCCAGGTGTTGTCAATGAGTGCATCAACACTAGATACACTTGTTTGCCGACAAGTTGTGTGTGTTGGGGGGGGTGGGGGGTGTGTGTGTGTGTGAGAAGACTAATGATTCAACTGAATAGTCTCTCATCTCTACTTATTAGTTTACATAATAGTTGAATAACTATATTTATGTACACATACTTGAAAACTACTGTCAGGACAGTAATTTTCAAGCTTCATTCGACGAAGAGTACCAAGAAGATGGGACACCACAAACCTAACGCTCGACCTGTAACTACACTTAGGTAATTGGACTATGGCAATTCTCGAGTATGCTCCAGTCATGCCCCAGTATGCTCCAATCATGCCCCAGTCACGCCCAGTATGCTCCAGTCATGCCCCAGTATGCTCCAGTCATGCCCCGGTATGCTCCAGTCATGGCCCAGTATGCTCCAGTCACGTCCCTGGGTACCTTCAACATTCTACTCTAATACACAGGATCTCTCTCCATGGAAATAAACAAGGAAAGTTCAGGCACACAGGCAAAGACACACAGGACCTCCAGGAAAGTCAATACATCCTTTTATTACACCTAACTACATATTACAAAACTATATGAACTTTATTTTTACATTTACCTATTTCATATATCAAGTAAATACTTACGAATCTGAAGGATCCGAGTCGGTATCTGTGTCTGTGCAATTCTTCTTATAGGACTTGAACCTGTCGATCAGGTCCATGAGGTATGCATTCTTTTTGGCCTTACGGATGAATGGGAACTTGAGCAATTCTTTGGCAGTGGGTCTCTGGAAAACAAATTATTTAACAGTAAGAATTTTAATTTCTTGCTACTGTATATCAGTTTTTAACAATTTAAAATGTGCAATGATAAATGGGTTAAAATCTTTTGAGGGAGATTCTACAACCTGTTATCCACCAAGACCTACAGGTAAAAGGCACCATGGTCGAGTCCTAACCTGTAATTTTTTCTATCAAAAGTGTAAACACCACATCTTCGTTTGAAAGTGCAAGGAGCGAGTGGTTACTTTTACTGCTTTCTGCTCTTCGTCCTCGTATCCTTTAGCCTGTACCTTTATCTTTCCACTTATAATATACTGTACTGTGTCACAATCCTCATTTTCCCTTCCACACCCCATCCCCCTTCCCTGGAAACACAAACCGAAACTGTCTCTATTTTCCGCTTGTTACAACTTGTAATAAAGTTGTTACATCTTGGCTTAACGTGTTTATGACGTATTAGAACGTTGTTATAACTTGCTATATTGGTTGTTATAACTGGTTAGGAGGTGTTAAAACTTGTTCGAACGTTGTACCAACGTCGTAGTTTCGGTGTGTGTTTGGCGGGTTCCTCTTGCAAGCTACTCTCCATCCCATTTAAGTGGGAAATAGGGTAGTGGTGATAATGTACAGAATATGCAAGTACAGTAGTTAAGCAATTTAATATTCCCATTTTAGTAGCAAGCCATTATTTTAGCCTACATTAAATGTGCTTTATTTAATAGCACCTGAAATGCTGTGCATACTAGTGGCTTTAGGCATAGTATATACTTGCTGTATCTAGAAACCCAACATTCTACCTGTAACTCATTTTGTATGTTCCATACATACTTTTCCATAAATAATGTAGTCATTGATATTGTCAGCAATGTTAAATCTATATCAAGTTTTGTGAACACCTGCATGCCATGATATAATGCAGTAGATAGCTATGTACAGTAACAGCAATCTTGAGGTTATCTTGAGATGATTTCGGGGCTTTTTAGTCCCCCCGCGGCCCGGTCCTCGACTAGGCCTCCACCCCCAGGAAGCAGCCTGTGACAGCTGACTAACACCCAGGTACCTATTTTACTGCTAGGTAACAGGGGCATAGGGTGAAAGAAACTCTGCCCATTGTTTCTCGCCGGCGCCTGGGATCGAACCCAGGACCACAGGATCACAAGTCCCGCGTGCTGTCCGCTCGGCCGACCGGCTCTGAGGAAATACCAAAAGCAGGACTTTCCCAGTAAAGCACTGTGCTACCTCCTGATATTTACTTACTTTCAATTACTGTGTATTGTACAGCAGCTTTCTTTAGAATCTTTTCAAGACATTATTGATACGTGAATTTATTGAATGAAAAAAAAATACAGGTTTTAGACATTGCTATCACCTCTGTAAAGTCCCTGTCATTACAATTCTGAAATGCTTCAAAATCTCTCACAATTTACAGAAAATTGCAGAATATTTGTCATAAGCATTAAGATTTCTTGATATTTACAAAAATAAACCAAGTTAAATAAAATTAAAGTTCATGTAAGTGCATGTTGCAGTGTATGGTGAGAAAACTGTAAAATTTTACTGTATGTAGTTTTCTTACTTAAATTTATTACATAAGCTAATCAAATTTCTGTCCAGGATGAATACAATTTCTTCCACGAGATCACAACAAAACATTATGCAGATCGGTTCAACACAGTCTGCAGGAGTGTGTCTCTGCATATAACCCCGACTACTAAATAAACGTCTAAAAAGAACGGCTTACAATGGAAAACTGTTAATAAAACCTGACAAAAATGTTGGGTGCTCAATGGAAAAAAAATTAATTAAAGCTTACGGTAATCCGAGCCCCTTATTACATATGTATGAACATATATATACCTCTTATGATGAGTATTAATGACAACATTTTGGAGACATTAGTGAATATAAAACATTAAATACATAAACAAAATTCATGAAATAAAAAAATATTTGTCACCACCTCAAAATGCTTACATTTTCTGGGTCCTTATTTAAACAGGCTTCTACAAATTCTTTGAAAGGTTTGCTATAGTTGCCAGTGAGTTGTGGAGGGTTATTCTTGGGTATAAGAAAGAGAACTCGCATAGGGTGAAGGTCACTGTTGGGTGGCTCCCCTTTGGCGAGTTCAATGGCTGTGATTCCCAACGACCAGATGTCTGCCTGTAGATTTAACAAGTCAATATTAAACGTTGCCACATAGAAATTAATCACTGTGCATGTCTACAAAAACATTAATTACTCATTACATGACTACGATCAAATATACATCACTTAACAAATGAATGTTACTTTTTAATGATTTGTTGTTGAAAAACTTAAATGTCCCTTATTTGGTAAGGCATTGAATATAAAATTTTATGAAATTTATCAGCTTTGTAATACCACAGAAAAACTGATTACAATAACTTAAAACGGATTTGAATACACTCTATATACTGAACTACTCGTGACAACCAGGTAAAGTGAATTCACAAGAAAATAATAAATTGTACCTTGGAGTCATATGCAGATTGTTTGATGACCTCGGGTGCCATCCAGAATGGAGTGCCAACAAATGTATTTCGTTTGCTTGTTGTGTTTGTTAACTGTCCTGCCACACCAAAGTCCGCCAGTTTCACATCACCCATCTCGCTCAGCAATACATTGGCGGCTGTAAATCAGACAGAATTAATCTTTAGTGTACTTTGTACTTTGAAGAACAGCTTCTCCCCCGAATCAACCTACCCTGGCTTTGCGCCCTGGAGAGGCCACTCCAGACCAGGCCGACACCAGTGCGCAACTCCATAGTCTCCAGAGACTGATGGATTCTTACTACTACCTTGTTGTTTATTAAACTTAATATTTGTATGTAAGCACAAAAACCCCCAAAGAAATCAAATTCAGTGGAGCATTAAAAATTTGAACATTGGAAAACCTAAAACTTCCTAAAATACTCAATGGTTTAAAAATATTATTCTAAAATCTTCAATACATTCCAAAATTCAGATACCATTATTGTAAACTAATATTGGACCAATTTCATTCATATTTACCAGATGTTAAATCAACTTACATACTCATTTCTTAGTTATCAAAACAAAGATACAGAACTGTAATATTGTTGAACATAGTAATAAAGTCAATAATCTTGATCCAACGCTGATAATTCAATATTTCCAGGGATGGCAAGCCTGTACTTAAGCAAATCTAAGTCACCCTAAGCCAACTACTGACCTTCCCCAGGATGCAACCCACGACAGTTCTCTAACTCCCATGTAACTATATACTGTCAGGTGAACACAGGCATCATACAAAAGCAAACTTTTCCCAACTGTCTCTGCCCTACCGCATCCAACTGCCTGGTTGACCAGACGACCAACCGGGCGGCCTGATCAGAGACCGGGCCACGGGGCTGTTGATCCCCTGAAGCTACACAAGGTACACAAGGTAAGGAACCCAAAAACTGAATCTGGGACCCTTGCTTGCGAGTGGAATATGCAAACCACTGAGCTACAGGACCAAATAAGTAAAAAAATCTTCAATAACATGGGTCTAATACTAATGACCAGTACAGGTACTATCTAAACTCTGGATAATTCACTTTATAAAACAAGATGTGGCTTGACCATATCTAGGAACCAATCAGACGAGGACGGTATTCCCTGATCTCCTAAGTTGGCATATTTCATGATATGAACAGTATCATGCAAATTCTTTAAAACAACATCAACCTTAAAACTACTGTAATGGTGTTATGATACAAATTTATGTAGTATGGTATGGTCCCCAAGATATACTTTCCAAACAAATTCAATATATCTAATAGTGCATGCTAAAAATAACAATGTTTACTCTGTACTGTTTTGTCAAACCACCTAGAGTATCATTTGCAACCAAGACTACAGTTCAGTGACAGGATTACAGTATCCCATTGATAAACAGCCTCAATCACACAGCATCATGGCAGAAAACCTTACTTATCTTTCAAGAATACAATAAAGTAACTGTCACAGCTGTAAGAAAAATGACAGGTTGAATAACAAGGACCTTTCAAGCAAGAGATACCATACCAATGATGATACTTTTATAAAACACTCGTGCTCACTAGGCATGGAATATTGTTGCACATTAACAGCCCCACTTAAAGCTTGAGAAATTGCTGACCTGGAGAACATGCAAAGGTCTTTTACTACCAAATCCACTCAATAAAACATCTAAATTATTGGAACTCCTTAAAAATGTTGAATCTGTATTCTCTTGAGTGCTGATGAGAGTAATACATAATTTGCACTTGAAAAATATTAGAGGAACTGGTTCCAAATCTGCACACTCCACATGAAACCAGGAGGTATAACATGACGTACAATATAGATAGCTCCACTGAAAAGCAGAGTTGCAATTGGTATGCCGAGATGGAACTTTTTTTTTTTTTTTTCAACATAAAGGGCCCAAGACTTTTCAACACACTCCCTCTATACATAAAGAGGCATAACTGGATGACCTCTCACTATGTTCAAGAAAGGTTAATAAACACATCCAAAAGATACCTTATCAACCAGGGCTGTGATTTATACGTCAAGCTGTGAGTAACTGAGTACAACAACTTGGTTGACCAGACCACCAACCAGGAGGTTTTGACCAGAGACCTAGCCATGGGAACGTTAGGCTAGGTCTAACATTCCTAGTTAGACCTAGGAACGTTAGGAACCTAACGAGATCATTCCTAGACCTAGGAACTTAATTCAGAACCTTCATGCAAACCAAATGTTTGAGTAAAAATAAATGCCACTGACCTTTTATATCACGGTGAAGTTTTCTCTCAGAGTGTAAGTAGTCTAAACCCTTTATAACTTCGCGTAAGATAACAGCGATGTGCATTTCTTCAAAGCTGCCAGCCTTCATCAGGTCCAGAGCTGATCCACCCCCAAGGTATTCCATAATAATCCATAATTTGGTACCTGAAAAATTGATGTTATAAACTAAACATTTTTATTCAAGAAACATAGTACATTTTCTAATACAGTATAGTATGAACTATTTGCATGTGGTTATAACCAATACATAACCTCATTTTATGACAGCCTGTGTTCATTCTAGCAGTCTACCAGTACGATTTGATAATTCTGGCTCTGGTTAAAAATACAAATTTAAAAATACAGCACAAGTTAAATCATTGCCAACAGTCTGTATCTCCAAATACAAAAGGGCAACAACATCACTGCAGAAATCCCCCAAAAGGTGGACTAACCTTTAAGATAAGAGCCATAATACTTGGTAACATAAGGAGAATCACACTGGGAAAGAACCATTATCTCTTGTTGGATGTCTTCAATTTCATCCTCAGCCTCTTCCAAATCGATGATTTTGATAGCAACCACTTGTGTAGTACGCTTGTCTACACCCTTGAACACTTCACCGAAGGAACCCTTGCCAATTCTTTCTTGTTTGGTGAAAATCAGCTCTGGATCAACCTTCTGGAATGAAAGAAAATGCAAAAATGTTAGTATCCATCATTAAATCAATTGCTATGGTAGTTATTCTGTATACAAAACATACATTTAACTGTCACCTTATTTTATGACACCATAAACACTTTATTTTATGACACCAAGTCTCTCTCTCTCACTCTTTCACTTACAGTGACTTCACAGTACAGTACCCACTTTCAATTCTTTCAGATTACACCTTAAGATCTTGGAATCGATCCATGTTGCTAAAATGAGAACCAAGTTAAACAACTCGCGTGTCGTTGACTCCGTTGTCTATGCATTCATTTAGCCTTGTGCACATAGATCATTAGAGGTTTTACTTTGTGATAAAAGTTAATTGCCTTTGTCTTTTTAATTTGTACAAAAAAAGAAAAAGAAAAAAAGATGTAGGGATGGTCCTGGACAGAAAACTGTCACTTGAGGACCACAAAGAACATTGTGCAAGGAACCTATGCTATGCTTCCCAACTTCAAAATTGCTTTTAAATACATGGATGGCAAAATATTAAAGAAATTGTTCACAACCATCGTGAGACCAAAATTGGATTATACAGTGGTTCTACACTGCCACTATCTCAAAAAACACATCAATAAACTGTAAAATGTGCAAAGACATGCAACTACTGTAAATGGCTTCCAGAACTGGAAAACAAAAGCTATGAAGAGAGTGTTAAATATACCAAAGCTTGTAGAAGAAAAAGAGGTGATATGACCACTACATATAATACAGTAACAGGAACCGACAAAACTGGCAAAGAAGAATTCTTTAAGCCTGCATCTTCACGAACATCGACTCAAGCTAAGGAACAAAGCTGCCGAAAAACATTTGAAAGTTTTCTTTTGCCAACGGAGTGGTAAACGGTTAGAGCAAGTCAAGTGAGAAGGTAGTAGAGGTCAAAAAGCGAATTGGAGGTCAATTGTTTCAAAGCTTCATGACAGAGTACAAAGGACACCACGAACATAGCTCTCATCCTGTAATTACACTTGGGTAATTACACGCAAACATGCTATTTTTGGCTTTATTTGAAAGTGTGAAATGTTGTAAGTTGAGGATTACAGTGAATGATCACTGAGGATGTAAGTTGAGGATTATAGTGAATATATTAAAGTTCCTCAGATTCCAGGTAAGAATCGAATAGAGTACAGTATAAGAACTTAAAGGTAGTAATGGTAATATACTCAATAGCTATGAAGCGGAGCCCTAGAGCTCTACCTCACTTTTTGTAGACATAGTGTAAATACGTGCCTGTTAGTGCCCCCTCCCCTCCTCAATTCCAGCAGCTTACACGACCACTACAAGACAACCACACACCACATACCCACCTGTCAAGTAAACATAGCAGATGATGACATTCTGAGCTACACCACCAAACACAGGTCAAGTGTCGAGGTCAATTGCCAACCAGTCCTCCCCCTCCCCCTCTCCCGTTTTGCTTTACTTCCGGTCTCAAATTTTTTATCACCCCCCCCCCCCCAACCGACCCAGATCGAGTAAAAAACATGCCCAACATCCACTTGCAGTTGTATAACACTTTTTACAAGGCATCCAATATTCACACACTAAGTCATTTAATATATGCATAAATTAAGCGTTTTTTGCAATGAGTTACGAAGCTAATACTTCTTGCGATAATACGCAGGTGTCAGAAATACTGATATACAGTATCTTAAACTATATATAACGATGACACTAAGATCCAAGGTAAAGCACCAAGCAAAAACGATAATGAGGCATTACAAAGATATACGTGAACTCCACAAATAGTTAGAAAAGAACAAATGCTTTTCAATGTTGAAAAATGAAAGACTGTGCACATAGGGCATAACAGTGCACTTCACAATTATCATAACAATACTACCATGCTGCAGATTGATGGAACAATGGACCTAGGAGTAAGGATCCACCACTCATTAAAAGTTGCACAAGTGGATGCTGCAGTGGGGAAAAATAAATCCTTAGAAATTGCCAAGAAAGTCTTTGACTTCAAGGAAAAGAAAGTGGTTATTCAACTGTATAAGTCCCTGGTGTGCCATCAGGACTAAAGTGATGATACCTGGTTGATACCTGGTTGATGGGGTTCTGGGAGTTCTTCTACTCCCCAAGCCCGGCCCGAGGCCAGGCTTGACTTGTGAGAGTTTGGTCCACCAGGCTGTTGCTTGGAGCGGCCCGCAGGCCCACATATACCTGGTTGATGGGGTTCTGGGAGTTCTTCTACTCCCCAAGCCCGGCCCGAGGCCAGGCTTGACTTGTGAGAGTTTGGTCCACTAGGCTGTTGCTTGGAGCGGCCCGCAGGCCCACATACCCACCACAGCCCGGTTGGGTCGGCACTCCTTGGAGGAATAAGTCTAGTTTCCTCTTGAAGATGTCCACGGTTGTTCCGGCATTATGTTTAGTGAGATAGTGTCCTTTAGGTAATTCAGGGAAATTTTATATGACCAATCCAAAAGTAAAGTAAACAAAATGAATGATGGCAGTTGACTGGAGCTTCTAGTATGGAATTAAAGAGACAGAACTAAGTGTGAGAGATAGCCACCGAGGCCCTGATAATGACGTCACCATGTTGGCATGTTGACCCCTGGCTCGACCCCTGCTGGACGGCGCACCTCTTGCTGCATGGTGATCACCGCCCAACATGGTGACCAAAACCCCCATGACGATCACAATATTGTACTGATCCCCGCATGGCGATCACAATACTGTACTGATCCCCGCATGGCTATCACAATACTGTACTGATCCCCGCATGGCGATCACAATACTGTACTGATCCCCGCATGGCGATCACAATACTGATCCCCGCATGGCGATCACAATACTGATCCCCGCATGGCGATCACAATACTGATCCCCACATGGCGATCACAATAATGATCCCCGCATGGCGATCACAATACTGTACTGATCCCCGCATGGCGGTCACAATACTGATCCACGCATGGCAATCACAATACTGATCCAAGCATGGCGATCACAATACTGATCCACGCATGGTGATCACAATACTGATCCACGCACGGCGATCTTGAGGTTATCTTGAGATGATTTCGGGGCTTTTTTTTAGTGTCCCCGCGGCCCGGTCCTCGACCAGGCCTCCACCCCCAGGAAGCAGCCCGTGACAGCTGACTAACTCCCAGGTACCTATTTACTGCTAGGTAACAGGGGCATTGGGTGAAAGAAACTCTGCCCATTGTTTCTCGCCGGCGCCTGGGATCGAACCCAGGACCACAGGATCACAAGTTCAGTGTGCTGTCCGCTCGGCCGACCGGTCCCCCTGTTGAAGGCTTTTGCGAAATGTGTAAATTACATCAGCGTTTTGCTTTTCTTTCATGGCATCTAATGCCATGTCATAGTGATACAGCAACTGTGACAGGCAAGAGCGCCCTGTTCTGAAACCATGTTGTCCAAGATTATGAAGATGCTGTGATTAAATGTATTTTGTCATCTTACTTCTTAGCACTCAAGCCTCAGCCACAGGTTCGAGTCGTGCGTAATTTGTTTTACATTCATAAAGAGGGAGTTTGGAGGGTGGATTACCGCGCATCGGGCAATTGTTTATGAAGATTGTTAGGGTGGTTATAGATAGGAGCTGCCTCGTATGGGCCAATAGGCCTGCTGCAGTTACATTGTTCTTATGTATGTTCTTATTTAAGACGGGCTGGTGGAATTCAAGAGTAGCTGTGCATGAACACGTGAAGGTCAGCTGTTGCATGGTATGGTACGAACCATTCAGGCAGAGGGAAGATAAAGACCGGAAATAAGGTGAGGAGAGGAGAGGGAGTGTTGGCTTATACACATCCTTCACCTCCGGGTAAACGTGTAAGGTGCATCCTTTCTCCCCCCCCCCTTCCCCCTACAGGCAAATGTAGGATGTGGTACCGGAGGAAGGAACCTGGCTGGCTTCCCTCCCTCCCCCTTATAAGTCCACTACGGGCTCACCGTAGCCCGTGCTACTTGGAACATCTTGTTCCAGGTAGCGAATCTTAAACAACAAATCCCTCCCCTCCCTCTCCTCTGGTCCCGTCTCCTGGAGGATATATCCTAATAATCGACTCAAAAGTTTGCCACTGCCGGCTACCTGATCAACCAGGCTGTGACTCAAACGTCAGGCTGCGAGCAGCCGCGTCCAACAGCCTGGTTGATCAGTCCAGCAACCAGGAGGCCTGGTCGAGGACCGGGCCGCGGGGACGCTAAGCCCCGGAAGCACCTCAAGGTAACCTCAAGGTACTGATCACATGCCGCAGCATAACTAACCGTCCTGCGGGATAGCGATGTTATATCACACAACGAACTCTTGAGACAAGCTGTGTAACCCTTCACATAGTCTAGGGACGCTGCCTAAATGTCCTAGTGTGTTTACAAAAAAAGAGAGCAATTATGGTACAATTGGGTGCCTGTACCCTGCGGTGGTCCCCTCTGATGTTCCCTCCTATTAATTCCATCTCTGGCACCTACTTCCTACTAACTCCATCTCTGACTACTCCAATGGTTCTCATCGCAAACAGATGACACCTATTCTCTAGTTACCTCTGCCTTATGAACAGTGGCACTAATTGCAATAAAGATGACTGTTGTTGTTTAAGATTCAGCTACTGGAAATAAAAAGTCTCAAGCAGCACGGGCTATGGTGAGCCCGTAGTGGACATTCCTGGCACAGGAGCGGTGCTGTAACTTCGAGTAGTAAGATGAACCAATGAGTCCATTATTAACCCTACCACGTGAAGGGGTCATGTGATTCCCACGCTAGTTGGGCTTTGCTTCATCACCTTCTCAAGATGACTGACTTGTCAGCTGTCATATCAGTGTTCCTGGACACGTCAACGCCGCTAACTCCGGCCATGCTGGCACCTACCCTGCACCTTCACAAACGCACATTCCTCAGTTTTCCCATTTTCTTAACAAATGTTTTCAAATACGAGTTATATTACTATGGTTTTGCGCGGTGTGTGATGTGTGTTATGCCTGACAATTTATATTTACTTGAGACAAATGCGCTTCCAAAATATAATATACGCTTAGGTTGAAATTTCGAGCTTAATCAGATTTGTTTTTTATATATAAAATAGGAAAGGGGCTACTGGATTACCGAACGTTTGACCAGTGTTCTGGTGACGGACTGTCACTAATGACCTTCCTGAAGGATCAAGTAACAAGGAAATGTATATGTTTATCTCTCAAAATGTTCGGTAATACGTTTATTGTTTGTGATGTGTGTCTATGTATGTATTAACACGTTGTACTGAACGGGGTGAAAATAGCTTGAGGTACCTCATCCCTTTGTGTGTATTTTACCTCAATAAACTTGTTTCAATTTCAAAGTAACAACACTCCTCATGTTAGTTTGGGTGTTACACCTAGTAACTCTGCTCCCATCATCTTGCTACTACACTACTTCACGCTAAGTATACCACACAGTACATTCATCAAAGTACCCAAATGAGCCACAGAGACGTTAGAAAGAATTTTTTCAGTGTCAGAGTAGTTAACAGGTGGAATGCATTAGGCAGTGATGTGGTGGAGGCTGACTCCATACACAGTTTCAAGTGTAGATATGATAGAGCCCAGTAGGCTCAGGAATCTGTACACCTGTTGAGAGGCGGGACCAAAGAGCCAGAGCTCAACCCCCGCAAGCACAACTAGGTGAGTACAGAGTCCATGGCCAGTGCAGAACCCAACCCTTGAAAGCAAGTCGGAGATAAGCTATCTGAACCACAGAAGGTCTCCGTGGCTCATTGATAAGACACTCGCCCGGCGCTTCGCGAGCGCTGTGGCCTGGGTTCGTATCCTGGCGGGGAAGGAGTGACCGGGCGCCAATTCTTAACTGTAGGTTCTGTTCACCCAACAGTGAATGGGATTCCTGGTTGTTAAACGATTTGGCGGGTAGTATTCCGGTGAACATACCTGCCCGAAACGCTATGCGTGCTGGTGGCCGTTCAAGAATGCAACAATTATTGTATATAAATAAAATAATAAAGGTGGCGGCATATTGTCCCCCTCAACAGCTCCCTTCACGAGGACACCCGCAGCGTGTACCACCTTGGCCTCCTGCTCAAGGCGGCGTGTACCACCACCTCCATCATAGTGATCACCTTGGGGTTGGGGGTCACGAGGAAGCATGGAGACGAGGAGGTCATCCAACCACCTGGAACCGGTCACAGGCATCCACAAGGCCCCGGCGTCGCCGCCACTAACCCCCCCCCCCCAAGTACTCTTCACCTCCCTCGCTCTAATATGTATTCGCAGGCGATGGGTCACAATAAGGTGGCTAAAGTATATTGACCAGACCACACACTAGAACGTGAAGGGACGGACCGAAACGTCGTCGTCGTCCCTTCACCTTCTAGTGTGTGGTCTGGTCTAATATGTATTCTTTACTATAATATGTATTCACTGATAAAACAGCAATTCTCATATTAAGAGACATCTCCGGGCCTGCAGGCCTAGGGATATCAAGACAAGTGGCGCCAGTACTGGGCGCACAATGATTACAGAGTACTATATTATTGTATACAGGTACGGTACAGGGAGTATAATGAGTTTACACTACTATAATGACCACAGGCTGCTGCTAGTGAGAGGAAGGGGGAGGGTGGTAGTGGTAGCCATTGTAGTTCAGTAGAGGTGGAAAAGAGTGGTAGTGGTTGGTGTAGTTAGAGAACATTTCCATAGTTTTCCTATCGCGGTTTGGACCTTAGGCTTAGGACCTTAATCTTGGGGAGCCCGTCGGCCGAGCGGACAACACGCGGGACTTGTGATCCTGTGGTCCCGGGTTCGATCCCAGGCGCCGGCAAGAAACAATGGGCAGAGTTTCTTTCACCCTAGGCCCCTGTTACCTAGCAGTAAAATAGGTACCTGGGTGTTAGTCAGCTGTCACGGGCTGCTTCCTGGGGGTGGAGACCTGGTCGAGGACCGGGCCGCGGGGACACTAAAAAGCCCCGAAATCATCTCAAGATAACCTCAAGAAGGCCAGCCTTCCGTGGTATATGCCTGCACTATACGAGTCTTTGTTGGCCCACACAACCACACCACCACTACAGCCAGGCTGATCATATTACTCCACCACAACTCCTAAAGTTCTCTCTTGAGAGCTTCTGCCTGACTTTCCCGCGGCATTTCTACCATTTGTTGGTCGGAGATGGAGTCAGTCAGTCACCCTCTGACGCTGTCTTCTCTACCGACTTTTAACTCGATTTAGTTCACATTTCCTACCACGTCTCACTCCAGTATACCTGAAGAGGTTCTGGGAGTTCTTCAACTCCCCGAGTTCGACTTTTGAGAACTTGGTCCAACAGGCTGTTGCTTGGAGCGGCCCGAAGGCCCACATATCCACTACAGCCTGGATATGTGCCCCAAAGAATGAGGTGATTTGATAAAATATTATGCCCAAGATTACCATCCGAGTGCCGACCGGGGGGGGGGGGGGTCAAATAGCTTCGGCTATCACCTCATTTTGTCCGGTCGTGATGGTCGAGTGGAGTTGCGTTGCTTCTGGCAGTATGGGTTCGAGTCACTTCTGGGGTGTGAGTTTTCAGTTGCATATAGTCCTGGGGACCATTCAGGCTTGTTCGCATGCATATATTATATATTCATTTTTTATTTGCATATATTATATATATATATATGTCGTACCTAGTAGCCAGAACTCACTTCTCAGCCTACTATTCAAGGCCCGATTTGCCTAATAAGCCTAGTTTTCCTGAATTAATATATTTACTATAATTTTTTTCTTATGAAATGATAAAGCAACCCTTTTCTCTATGTATGAGGTCAATTTTTTTTTATTGGAGTTAAAATTAACGTAGATATATGACCGAACCTAATCAACCCTACCTAACCTAACCTAACCTATATTTATAGGTAAGGTTAGGTTAGGTAGCCAAAAAAAGCTAGGTTAGGTTAGGTTAGGTAGGTTAGGTAGACGAAAAAACATTAATTCATGAAAACTTGGCTTATTAGGCAAATCGGGCCTTGAATAGTAGGCTGAGAAGTGCGTTCTGGCTATTAGGTACGACATATATATATATATATATATATATATATATATATATATATATATATATATATATATATATATATATATATATATATATATATATAGTTGTATCTGGCCTGTGTTGAGAGGAGGATGTGAGGACAACAATGTTCCTCAGGAGACAGCACCAAGGCTTTGAAGATTACATCTACGGCGTGACATCCCTTGTTTTGTAGGTCCTCATTACCCACCCCTACAATCTTCCTGACTGTTGCTGTTTGTCTTTGGTTGTGCTCTCCAAACCTTACCTCCCCTCTGGTAGAATTATTCCAAGATCTTGAATATACGGTCGCTTCAATCCCCCGACCGTCCAAGTGGTTGGGCACCATTCCTTCCCCCCCCCCCCCCGTCCCATCTTAAATCCTTATTCTGACCTCTTCCAAGTGCTATATAGTCGTAATGGCTTGGCGCTTTCCATTCCATTTTCATTCTATTCCCTTAGTTCCATTTCCCGTACTTTGAGCTTTTCCTTTGTCCGTATACTTGGGTAATTGGAATTGATCACTGTTGAGCTTCAAATTGTTTTGCGTCGCTCACTGGAAGACCTTTTTGATATATGATTGCAGTTTTTGTGGGTTTTTTCGCTTTTGCAATGTTCAGAATTATTTCCGTGTTGTCCGGGAAGGTTGACACGAAATTGTGCATCGTCTTCCTTGCTGAAGGTTGTATTCCTGGCTGAAGGTTGTATTCCTGGCTGTAGGTTGTATTCCTGGCTGTAGGTTGTATTCCTGGCTGAAGGTTGTATTCCTGGCTGAAGGTTGTATTCCTGGCTGAAGGTTGTATTCCTGGCTGTAGGTTGTATTCCTTGCTGTAGGTTGTATTCCTGGCTGAAGGTTGTATTCCTGGCTGAAGGTTGTATTCCTGGCTGAAGGTTGTATTCCTGGCTGTAGGTTGTATTCCTGGCTGAAGGTTGTATTCCTGGCTGAAGGTTGTATTCCTGGCTGCAGGTTGTATTCCTGGCTGTAGGTTGTATTCCTGGCTGTAGGTTGTATTCCTGGCTGTAGGTTGTATTCCTGGCTGTAGGTTGTATTCCTGGCTGTAGGTTGTATTCCTGGCTGTAGGTTGTATTCCTTGCTGTAGGTTGTATTCCTGGCTGAAGGTTGTATTCCTGGCTGAAGGTTGTATTCCTGGCTGAAGGTTGTATTCCTGGCTGAAGGTTGTATTCCTGGCTGTAGGTTGTATTCCTGGCTGAAGGTTGTATTCCTGGCTGAAGGTTGTATTCCTGGCTGAAGGTTGTATTCCTGGCTGTAGGTTGTATTCCTGGCTGTAGGTTGTATTCCTGGCTGAAGGTTGTATTCCTGGCTGAAGGTTGTATTCCTGGCTGAAGGTTGTATTCCTTGCTGAAGGTTGTATTCCTGGCTGTAGGTTGTATTCCTTGCTGTAGGTTGTATTCCTGGCTGTAGGTTGTATGTGGTTTGTGTGTGTGTGTTCTACGAGGATGAGAGAGAGTAATGACGAGAGCAATGATCGATTGATTGATGAAGATTAAGCCACCCAAAAGGTAGCACGGGCATGAATATCCCGTAAGTGGTGGCCCTTTTGAGCCATTACCAGTATCAAGAGCTGATACTGGAGACCTGTGGAGGTGCGACTGCACCCTGAGTGACGGGAGATGTCTTCCCCGTCTCTGATGTACAAAGTAATGATTGATGAAAATTACGCCACCCAAGAGATGGCACGGGCATGAATAGCCCGGAATATATATATAGAGAGAAAAGCGTGATGCCAGCGACTTAAGCCTACAAGCTAAGGTACAGAGAAGGGTTATAAATACTTTATCTGGGGCTGCAGGTAGCGAGGACGACACACGCACCTACAGGGAGGAGAAAACATGGTGGTTAGTGACACATTACCCAGGGGGGGGGGAGGGGGGGGGGAGAGAGATGGGGATGGGGTCAAGGTCTTCCCGGGTCACTGTCGGAAGTCTGCCATTACGGCCCCACCACCATCCACACTCCTCCACCTCATCTATGTGAATGATGCTCCAACATATCCCAACATGACGCTCCAACACCTCCCAACATGACGCTGTAACACCTCCCAACATGACGCTGTAACACCTCCCAACATGACGCTGTAACACCTCCCAACATGACGCTGTAACACCTCCCAACATGACGCTGTAACACCTCCCAACATGACGCTGTAACACCTCCCAACATGACGCTCCAACACCTCCCAACATGACGCTCCAACACCTCCCAACATGACGCTCCAACACCTCCCAACATGACGCTCCAACACCTCCCAACATGACGCTCCAACACCTCCCAACATGACGCTCCAACACCTCCCAACATGACGCTCCAACACCTCCCAACATGACGCTGTAACACCTCCCAACATGACGCTGTAACACCTCCCAACATGACGCTGTAACACCTCCCAACATGACGCTGTAACACCTCCCAACATGACGCTGTAACACCTCCCAACATGACGCTCCAACACCTCCCAACATGACGCTGTAACACCTCCCAACATGACGCTGTAACACCTCCCAACATGACGCTCCAACACCTCCCAACATGACGCTGTAACACCTCCCAACATGACGCTCCAACACCTCCCAACATGACGCTGTAACACCTCCCAACATGACGCTGTAACACCTCCCAACATGACGCTGTAACACCTCCCAACATGACGCTGTAACACCTCCCAACATGACGCTGTAACACCTCCCAACATGACGCTGTAACACCTCCCAACATGACGCTCCAACATCTCCCAACATGACGCTGTAACACCTCCCAACATGACGCTCCAACACCTCCCAACATGACGCTGTAACATCTCCCAACATGACGCTGTAACACCTCCCAACATGACGCTCCAACACCTCCCAACATGACGTTACAACAAATACGTCGCTATATGTTATACTCAAATTCTGTCAGTTGAAATATAACCAATGACAGGCTAGTAAGCCTCTGACGTCATGCCAGACAGGGGAGCACCAAACTTCCTCATCAGTCTCGTCAACAGTCATTTTAGCTAACTTCATGTGGTCTAAATGTTCATTTATATACTCTCCTGTTAACAAGTTCTTAAGTCTGTATTTGTTACCTTTAATAAGCTCGATTACCTTATATGGACCCAAAAATTTCTTAGTTAACTTGTACATAGGACCAGACCTGTGTTGGTTAAGTATCATTACTACAGATCCAATAGTTATTTTACTGGGTTTAGCTCGTGCATTCCTTGCTAGAGTGAACTCGGCTGTTGCTTTGGACAGTTGTTCTCGTATTTTCTTGAATACTAGTTGCATTTGTCTACGCTTCACTTGAACAAAATCATCTACGTTATATAAGGCAGCTCAGTTATCCTCACAGACTCAGAGTAGAAGGACCTCGGCTAGGCAGATATATCAGTCAATAAATATATACAGAAGCGACTACTGTGTCTACCTTCTACCCGAACAAGGCAAACGAATATATATTAATAACACTAGAGCACTAGGGAGCCTCGAACCCGGGTCCTCCCAATCGCGCACCTTACAATATAAATTATATTTCAACCCATCTCAACGAACATTTAATAATGCTTTAAATAAATGATAATTACCAAAATAAGCTTGCCTAACACCCCCCCCCCCTCCCCCCCAACCTGTTAAGAGGTCAACCAGAGGTCAAGAGGCAAATGCTACGAGTTTTATTCATTATAAAAGTGTGTACTCACCTAGTTGTGCTTACGGGGGTTGAGCTCTACTCTTTCGGTCCGCCTCTCAACTGTCAATCAACTGTTACTAACTGCTAACTATTCCCCCCCCCTCCATACACACACACACACACACCTAGGAAGTAGCCCGTAACAGCTGTCTAACTCCCAGGTACCTATTTACTGCTAGGTGAACAGGTAAATCAGGGTGAAAGAAACGCTACCCACACTGTGCGTGCAAGAACCGGTTGTGCCAAGGGTGCCACAGTCACCCAGGGGAGCCGGTCGGCCTAGCGGACAGCACGCTGGACTTGTGATCCTGTGGTCCTGGGTTCGATCCCAGGCGCCGGTGAGAAACAATGAGCAGAGTTTCTTTCACCCTATGCCCCTGTTACCTAGCAGTAAAATAGGTACCTGGGTGTTAGTCAGCTGTCACGGGCTGCTTCCTGGGGGTGAAGGCCTGGTCGAGGAGCGGGCCGCGGGGACACTAAAAAGCCCCGAAATCATCTCAAGATAACCTCAAGATAACCCACACCAGCCTAGGTGTATGACAACCACCCGGGCTGGTTGATCAGTCCAGCAACCAGGAGGCCTGGTCGACGACCGGGCCGCGGGGACACTAAGCCCCGGAAGCACCTCAAGGTAGGGTATTCCACTTGGTTGTTGATGCTAATATATGCGACGCGTAGCAAGTTCAAATATGTTTACTGAGAGAAGAAACATAATACATCTCAAAGGGATAGAGTAACTTAGGTTACTTCTACCCCCCGCGACGCGTAGCGTTCAGCAGGGATGGTCACCCTTGCTGCCCTCCGAGTAACGCAAGTATCGCGTATTCACTACCGGACTCTTACGGTCCTGAGAGCCCCGTCGTAGATGTCAAGGTCCAGGGGGGAGGTTACCTTGAGGTGCTTCCGGGGCTTAGCGTCCCGCGGCCCGGTCGTCGACCAGGCCAGGGAGCGGATCACTACACACTCCCTAATCAACATCTACTCAGAAGAGAGGTTCCAGCAGCCTGTCCTGAAGGGTGACGGCCAGGCACTGGGTCCCCCCTTGTGATTGCTTCTGTTGTTGTTGTTGTTTAAGATTCGCTACTTGGAACAAAAAGTTCCTAATAGCACGGCCTATGGTGAGCCCGTAGTTGTTCTGTTGTGAGCGTGTTGCTGTGGCGGAACGAGAAACCCGGCGGAGGAGCCCCTCAAGCAAGAAATTGGGCTCAAGTTGTGGCCAATCTTGAGCTACTGGTTGGGGGGGAGATTTCTTACTAGCAGGGAAACTGCGTTCCTCAAATTCTCAAGAGAACGTGAGAGCCCAAACTGAACTGACAGAACGATGAGGATCACCCAGACCAACCGATATACTCTTATATATCTGTTATATGTTCGGTCTCCGTGGTGTAGTGGTAAGACACTCGCCTGGCGTTCCGCGAGCGCTATGTCATGGGTTCGTATCCAGGCCGGGGAGGATTTACTGGGCGCAATTCCTTAACTGTAGCCTCTGTTTAACTCAACAGTAAAATGTGTACTTGGTTGTAACAACGATTCTTCGCGGCAGGGGATCGTATTCCAGGGACCATAGGATTAAGGACTTGCCCGAAACGCTACGCGTACTAGTGGCTGTACAAGAATGTAACATCTCAAAAAAAAAAAAAAAAAATTCTCAGCCCCACAACCACCCGTTATCCAAACAACGAGGATAACAGGTATCTAACGTTGGTCTCTTTTAAGAGACCAGGGGAGTCTCCCAGGGAATCTGGGAGACCAGATTCACGAAAGCGCTTACTCAAAACACTTATGAACCTGTACATCTTTTCTCAATCTTTGGCGGCTTTGTTTACAATTATTAAACAGTTCGGAGCTCCGAAGCACCAGGAGGCTGTTTATAACAATAACAACAGTTGATTGGCAAGTTTTCATGCTTGTAAACTGTTTAATAAATGCAACCAAAGCCGTCAAAGATTGAGGAAAGATGTACACGTTCGTAAGTGCTTGCGTAACTGCTTCGTGAATCTGGCCCCAGCCTCACGTCAACGGCGCATGCGCCCACAACCATCACGGCGACAATTTTCACAAACGACAGTTTCTTTCACCCTATGCCCCTGTTACCTAGCAGTAAAATAGGTACCTGGGTGTTAGTCAGCTGTCACGGGCTGCTTCCTGGGGGTGGAGGCCTGGTCGAGGACTGGGCCGCGGGGACACTAAAAAAAAAGCCCCGAAATCATCTCAAGATAACCACCCACATGCCGTTGATATCGACGGCCAGGCTCGGGAAGCAAAAAGCACTCCCGAAACCCTCTCCAGGTACGTTCCAGGTATGGTCTAAAGTCCCACCGTTATCCAGCTTATACAAAAACAAAGAAAAACAAGTGAGACCCACAAGACACAAACAATTAACACGGAGCTTTGATGAGAATCTGGCAGAAGGGCGCAGTGTTTAAGCGTGAGAGAGTGCTGTAGCTTCCAATCTTCTTGATTATCTGAGCTCCGGTGGCTTACCAAGCATCCCACCAGTCGGGACTGGTGGGATCCCACCATGGGACTGGATCTAAAGACCCCAGGTCATAACTGATGGGACTAACTGGCCCAAGTTCTCTACCCAACCCCCCAACCCCCACCCACGCGCACACACGGATCCAAGAGTCAATGCTCGATCCTGCAGGCACAAATAAGTGACTACACCCACACGCACGCACGCACGCTTCACGAACCATCCCGAAAAATTCGTTTCCAAATCCCACTAAAACAACCGTTGATGGCGTTATCAAGTTACACTAACAGCCGTTACCTAAGATCTAACACCCCCCCCCCCTAGCACACCCATTATCTTCACGCACAATGGAAACCATATACAATGACTTCATTAGTTCAAGCAGTCTCCGTGGCGCAGTGGTAAGACACTCGCCTGGCGTTTCGCAAGCGCCTTGCCTTGGGTTCGAATCCTGGCCGGGGAGGATTGACCGGGCGCCAATCCTTAACTGTAGCCTCTGTTCACCCAGCAGTGAATGGGTGCCTGGTTGTTAAACGATTCGGCGGGGTCGTATTCCGGGGAAATTAGAATGTAAAGAATGTAAACAAGACCACAAGAATGTAAACCCCACAAGAATGTAAACTCTTGTATTAGTCACCAACCTGTCCTCTCACATTATCATTTTTT